CTCTGAGTCCCTTGGAGATGGTAGAGAGCATGCGCGAGATGATTAAATTCAAAGCAGCAAAACATACAGAAATGATCCATGGTTTCCGCGGATCATTTAAAATAATTACAATCCATTATTTTTTGGGGGACTTTTTCATTAATTTAATAAATTTTTATGGGATTTCGGTGTAACAATCAAGATATACCGAATCGAACCGAACTGAAAACCGTGACCACGAAACCGTGAATCGAACTGAACCGTGGATTTTGTGAATCGTTCCACCCCTAATATATATATATATATATATCTATATATGTATATAAATACACAAAGGTATTTGTATTTGTTTCCTCTACTTTCTCTTGCATCTCTCCTGACAAAATATGTGGATGCTTGCCATAAACAATTTGTGGTGCAACAATCCATTTAGATTAAAAACACAGACTTTTACTATTATTATGAAGTTGGAGAAATAAAATCACATTCAAAGACTGTATTTTTTCCCTTTTGGTGGTAATAATATAAAATATTATGTTTTATTTATCAGCAGTTTTAATAAAACAAATATACATTACAGGATTATTGAAAGTTTTAAAATGTGAATGAGGATCTTGAAGTGGATACGCTGCTCTATGGAGCTAGTAATGTTTTTTTTTAGGAGGAGTTCTTTGAATGTAACTTTCACTTTGACTTTTAAAAAAGTCTATTATGTCTTAAAAGATTAAAAGTTTTGTGTAAATTAATACATCTGATATTACAACTCTTCTAGACAACGTGACCAAAGTGAAGAACAAATGCCCAACAAGAAATAATTTCCGTCACCGTCTGTTTGCAGACCCACGTTCTACAGTAACACCTGGACCGTTTCAGGTATTAAAAGAAAAGAAAGCAGAGAAAAAGCGCTGTGACCATCCAATCACAGACCCGATCCAGTGGCGCATCAGATGTTGTAAAGTGAGCTTCTCTGGAGTGACAGCGGTGACAGCCAATCACACAAGAAAAGACAGAGGTCCAATCAGGGGCTGGTGGGCGGTCTAAACTCAGGGAAACTGGCTTCAGCTTGAGCTGTGGTTATCTGCTAGGTCCTAGTGCTCGATGAGTGTCGGTTTACCGTAGTGTAACATTGTTTTTGGACAGTGAAAAATGCAGGGGACCAAAACAGACTTTTGAAAAAGTGCAGGGGATATGTCCCCTGTGACCCACTCTAAATTATGTCCACGTGCAGAGTTATTCACTACACACCTCCAAACATCATATGGCCTTCAGATTAGCTCAAGAACAGTGCGCAGAGAGCTTCATGGAATGGGTTTCCATGGTCGAGCGGCTGCATCCAAGCCATACATCACTTAGTGACATGAAAGCATCAAATGCAGTGCTGTGAAGCTTGCATCTGACTGGACACCAGGGGAGTTCTCTTAAATAAAGAATAGCATTTCCTAATCTGAAAATCAGATGGATGAGGTTTGGTGGTTGCCAGGAGAATGGCACCTCTTCGGACTGCATTGTGCAATATCTAAAGTTTGTTGGATGGGGGATTATGGTGTGGGGTTGTTTTTCAGGAGCTGGGCTTGGCCCCTTAGTTCCAGTGAAAGGAACTCTGAATGCTTCAGCATACCAAGACATTCTGGACAATTCCATGCTCCCAACTTGCAGGTGGTCCCTTCCTCTTAATTTTGTGTGTGTGTATGGTTGTGTGTCTTTTTGTGTCTCTGTGTTGCCCTGTGAATGACTAACAACTTGTCCAGCATGTACCCTGCCTCTCGCCCATAGAATGTCGGAGATAGGCACCGGCCTATCTCTGGATGGATGGATGGATGGATGGATGGATGGATGGATGGATGGATGGATGGATGGATGGATGGATGGATGGATGGATGGATGGATGGATNTTGTGTAAAGCAAAACGCCGTTGGACATCAGAACAGTGGTGACACATTCTCAGGAGTGGCGAATCAAGCTACTCAATCTAGAAATCTGATGGATGAGTATGGGTTTGGCGGTTGCCATGAGAACGGTACTTGTCTGACTGCATTGTGCCAAGAGTAAAGTTTGGTGGAGGCCGGAATTATTGTATGGGTTTATTTCTATCAGGAGCTGGGCCTGGCCCCTTAGTTCAGATAAAATGAACTCTGAATGCATTAGCATAAAAAGACATTTTGGACAATTCCATGGTTCCAACATTGTGGGAACAGTTTGGAGCTGACCGCATCCTCTTCCAACATGACTTGGCACCAGAGCACAAAGCAAGGTCTATAAAGACATGGATGTCTGGTGTGGATGAACATGACTCATCTGCACTGAGTCCTGAACTCAACCCTATAGAACACTGTTGGATGAAACAGATCGGATACTGAGAGCGAGGCAATCTTGTCCAATATCAGTGTGTGACCTAACAAATGCACTTCTGAATGGTCAAAAATTCCCATATAAACATTCCTACACTTTGTGGACAGTCTTCCCAGAAGAGCTGAAGCTATTCCATCTGCAAAGGGTGGACCGACGTCATATTGAACCCCTATGGATTAGGAATGGGTAGGAAAGTATAAGCCTTCGCATCGGCCTACTCCTTTTCCACTAAATTGTTGGTTTCTACATGGTACTGTATGTTGTTTCTTTTTTTTTTTGTAACATACATTTACCAATATAAAGCTAATCTTATCTAATGTCTAATAAGCACATATGTGTATACAGGATGTGAGTGAATACTTTTAATTAATTTTGCACATCATTAATCTGGATGGTTTCATTTAAAATCCAGAGCACAATTCTATCCTGATATCAGTTTAATCAGCCAGTTTTATCATCTACAACTCAAACAAACTTCACATTTGGGTTGCAGGTTCTGTTTGTTGTTAGTGGAAAGTAACTGAAATAGTATTTGAAANAAACACACTCCTAAACCTTGTGGACAGCCTTCCCAGAAGAGTTGAAGCTGTTCTAGCTGCAAAGGGTGGACCGACGTCATATTGAACCCTATGGATTAGGAACTGGATGTCACTTGAGCTCGTATGTGAGTCAAGGCAGGTGAGCAAATACTTTTGGCAATATAGTGTATTTGAATTTTGTTTCTGTCCAGTTCGCTGAAAGTTTAGAAAATGTAAGCTGTTTTTGTTGCTGACTGAGTCAAAAGGCACAGAACATGGCTGTCTGTTGTCATAGCCACATGTGTCATGTTCAATGTGCTGGACATTCAGAGATTATTTAAAAAATATTGGTTGTAACAAGTTTTATGCTAAAGTTGTCTTCTCATGATCTTAAACTGGTCTGCCTGCTCGCCAAAAACACCAGCCAGGCATATTTGTTTATGAGGTTTTCTCTCCTGGTTATCTACTTATTATCCTCTGATCTGTCAACTCTCCTGTAGATCAACATCAGACTAATAAACAATCATCTAGCCTATCTGGTAACAAAGGCCATGCCGCATTCAAAGTCACCCAAAATAACCTTTTTTTTTTTAGATCTATTCTGATTCTGTTTTTTTTTCAGTAAATAATCACATCCAAACAAAGCAAAATGTGAAAAAAAGTTTATTTTAGAAACCAAATGTAAATCTACAGTATTTCTAAATTAAAAATATCCCAACTGAACAGTTTTAAAATGATCTATAACAGTAAAACCTTAAAGTTTCTTTCCGACCAAAATAACTGTTTAAAAAAAAAAGAGAAAAAAAAAGAAAGAAAATTGGCAGTCATTTGTTAGTCTAACGAGGCGGAAACCCCCTATGTGGCCCCCCCCTTCCCCTGAACCCTCCTCTGTCTCCCCTGAAGTTTGGCCTATTCCTTTCTCTCCCTCGGTCTCCACCTCTCCCAGCATTTGGCCCCCCACGTCCCCCTCTGGGTGCTCCACCTCCGCGGTCCGACTTGAGTTTCACTGGGGATTTGGGCCGCAGCCTCTCTATTTCTTCGGTGCAGCCGGTTAAATAGGATTCAGGCATAGGAAAGTGTGAAGCATAGGTCTCTGGGTTAAAGTTGGTGTTTGTTAAGGTTGGACCGACTGTCACCCATCCTGAAAACAAAAAAACAAACATAAAAAACCTGTAAACTTTACAACCAAGATTGGTTAGGAATCAAGAAAAGCTAAAAAGCATTTTATCTATTTTAATTAAGTGTCCCCCTATCCTACCTGGTCTGATGGTTGAGTCTCTTCCAAACAGGTGCAGCCTCCGACGACCCAAACAGAAATGCTCAATGATGTGGAAGATCTCCACTGGTTTCTCTACATTTCCCATCTCAGGCTCCTCTGCAATAATCAGGTCAATGTCTACATTGGCATGAATGAAGTCGCCATCAGTGCTCCTGCGCACAGTTCCCTTGATCCCCATTAAGCAGTGCTCCTGAAACAAATATATTTGATTAGTTTGCAATTTTATATATATAAAAACACCACCTAAAACATAAAAAATAAATAACAGTTTGCTGTCCTAATATTGACCCTGTTTCAGTGACGAATCTCTTTTTTTTAAAATTAGATCGAAATTTGACACATTTAAACCAGAGAAATGAAACTATTGAAAATGTTTCTCCTCTCCACATGTGACGTATTAAGTGGAAAGTTGTCTATCTAATCACATAAAATGAGCTAAAAATTTTTTTGCTTGTCACAGGGTTTGGCTAATCAACAGCAAGCATGTGATGCGATCTCATTTACTCTGGTATCCTTAAAAACTAGACATGACAATAGCTTTGACTCAGCAAGACAGGAAAAACAGCACCGTCAAAACTGATAACATACTTGTCTGCTTTTCTTCCTTTGCTGTGTAAAAAAAAACAAATTATAGCATCAGGTAGCCTCAAATGTGGACATAAATACCTAGGCCCTAGACTTTAAACAGAGCTGAAACTAGCAGGGTTGAAATAATCAAGGCTGATTGCTTTTAATCTCATGTAAATTGTTTCTGTTTTTATAGAAGCTAGCTGTTCCAAAATGACCATGAAATGATTCTTCAGACATTTTCAAAACTCAGACATTTTCCAGTTTAAATTGTTTTACATTTGCCAGTGATCATTTTTGGCCATTTCCAACAAACTGCTATAGTAAATGTTGAGTTTTAGACTTTAAAATTGAATGGAGACGGACGAAAAAATGACTGTTTTAAGCAGAACAAGGATTACTTTCTTAAAGGCTCCCGTTTCTTTTTTATATGAGACACCTTTGTGTTTCCATGTGTTGTACCTTAGTCCTCTGAAAAACAGCTTTTGGGTCCAGGGCCTTGGTTTTTCCTGGGTTATTCTTGTTGGTTTTGATCCAGCAGATGTCTTCAGACCTTCTGAAACCCCACTTTCTCAGGCACTGAAATTAAAATGAGGTGTGCCAGTTGGTGACAGAGCACTTAGGTTTTAGTATCAACAGCTCAATTCTTTGGCAAAAAGCTCATCTTTTTTCAAATGTTGTTTGATGTTGAATGCAAAAAAGATATGTTTTCAGCACTCCTTGACTAAGATAAACAAACACCAGGGTTTTGTTTTCATATCAGTTTGGCTGGTTACTGGATCATCAGAACAGCTAAGATGTTCTAACTTTATTTTTGATGATTCGTCTTCAAAAAACCTAGTTTCTGATTTATCTTAAAAAACAAAAAAAAAACAAAGCTCGAGCATAAGGTCAGAATTTCAGTCAAAGTCAGAATGGGTTTGAAGATAAAATTCTGCTCATTTCACATAATTAAACATATTTAAAACCAACTGCATCTTGGATTTAAAAAAGGGAAACTATTTGCAGTCTCTAAAAAAGAAAGAAAAATGTGTCGCATAAACATACCAACTCGGGTAAAAAAAATATAAAAATATTTTTATGCATCAGGGCGAGGCTGTGACACTTTGTTACTGATAACCTTAAAGGATTGACGTCACAGAAGGCAGACAAATGTCATTTAGAAAATAAAGGTATTTGTGGTTTGTTTGCTTAACATGAAAAAGTAATCCATGGTGAGGAACAAATTCCAGACAGAGTTCAGGTATGAAGAAAAACAGACGAACGCTTGCAAAAAGCATCAGAACCAACACCAAACAAATAACCCACATTAATCCAGCTGATCTCAGAGAGTAAAGGGAGAGAAAAGGTTAAATAAGCTCCATTTGTGTAAACCAGGAACAAGGAAGGAAAAAGATTGAAAGCATGATTAGAGATTGGAGTGTGAATTGATTACATAAGACTGTGTTACCATTCTGCCGAGGTCCAGACCTTCTCCAGAGCCACACCAGAGGAAGACAAAGGAGCGTAAAGCTGATATCTCCTCAATCTCCAGTCTCATGATCTATAAAAGCCATGAATAAAAAGAAATAAATGCTGCTTCACAAAAAAATAAAAATAAAGAAAGAGTAAATGAATCACAAAGAAATCGCAAGGCCTGTTATTAGAAAGCTCTGCAGAGGTTTTCACAGGTAATCCAGCAGGTCTTAGAGAACCATTGTTATTTTTTGTTTTGGCATATCTTCATCACCACAAAGCTGACCGTTTCCTTTTGTTATGTTTGAGTTATAATAGCTGATTTACAGAGGCCACACTGTCACACACAAAAGAATGACTGTTAACACTGTGAGTTTTTATTTTTATGGTATTTGTTTAATGCTGTTGCTTTGTTTCATTTTCAAAGTTTCCTATCAGGAGGACAAAATCGTCCTCTGACGAATATTTGCCAGGTAATTCATTTAGAGTTTGAACACGTAACACAGAGAAAATGTGTTTTCAGCTTGTAGTTTAAAGGCCTGAACTGACGACTTTTTAATCTCTGATCCAATTTTTTTCCATGTCCACTGACTGCGTATAGAGAGCCTCTGACTAGGCAGGGTGGGTAGATCTGTGCAGGTTTGTTTTTTTTTTTTTTTTACCTCCGTTTCTGTGCTACACAAATTAAAACAATTTCCCACCTTTGATTTGAACAGATTACCAAAGGTTATAGAAAAATAAATACAAAAAAACACCAGCAAAGCTACAAAGCAAAGCCACACTTAACAAGTCTGTGCAGTATCTTAAACCAGAATAGAGAATGTCTATATGTCTACTTAAAATCATAGTAAGCTCTATGTCAAAAAAAAAAAAGAAAAACGACAATAATCACCATGGGAAGGTTTACATGCTGACTTTGGCAGAGATGTGATTCTCAGAGAGATCTATGAAGGTTATCAAATTTTTGCGAGGCTTTCAGAGGATCAAATTTGACTATATCTGTTTTCTATCCTCTTAACCTGGGTTGTGTTAATTTTTTTAATGTTTGCCGCTGAATTGCTGTTTAATCCGATTAAAATAGACCTGGGGTCTATCTCATTTGGAGCTACACAAGCCCCCTTGCAGAAAATGTGTTGGCTAGGATCATACTCTTTGTCTTTTAAAGAGCGCTAAACGTCACAACATCATCTGACTTGATTTTCTTTCGGATCGGACACGAAATCAGATTCAGAGCTTCATTTGTAATTATCAACACACTGATTAACAAATCCCACTGGGTTTACTAACCTGCAGCAAAATACACACACAACTCAGGTGTGACTTTAAGATATTATAGAGGATTTTTTCAAATTTTTTAAACGATCCGCCCTCTCTAATTAAAAATAAAAAAATGCACGTGTGAGAGAATGCACGAGCCCATTTCTCCTCGTGCACGCTCTGTTTAAAAGTTGCTGTTCTCATACAAGCTTACTGTGTCCAAATGTCTGCCCTAACCCCTAAATCCATCAATCACTATATAGAGCTGGGGCATTATAGTGAACTTAACTTACCGTTCGTACAGATGATCACTTCCCTGTTGGTTTGCTGTGCGGTGCCTGCACCATCTTTGGTATTAGTCACTGTGACAGCAAATCCTATAATGCTTTGAGAGGAGAGGTCTCAACGCAAAGCATTCTGGGATATACCTGCCTCTTCTGTGGCCTTTTCTTTTCAAACATTTCGTAGACACTTTTTCTCTTACGGCCCTCGGCCATTTTCAAAGAACCACTTTGAGAAAGTTGAGCGTCAATGACTGGCTGAAACCGTAGCTCACCACAGATACTCGGCTGAAGGCGCACATGCGCAAAAAACGATAGCTAACGGGACGAGCACGTAGGACGGACTTACGTAAACATAGCTCCAGAATGATTGACAATTAGGAGGACTACTTATTTTGATGATCCACCCGGAAATAAAAGATCGTCTTCTATACCTTTAATTATCAAATCCAAACTGCAGCTCACAAGCAAAATGAATCGCAACATTAGGTCAATAAAACCCTGTGGGCTTTTTTCTTCAAAGTGATCACTTATTTACTAATTTGCATGAAAAGCAGCGATGAAACAAATAAGGATGTACTAACATCATCCCAGGTCCAGAAGCGTTCTGTGTGACTGATGCCCGACTCTCGGTAATATTCCTCCAAAGGAGGCTCAATCAGAATCACATCAAACTGGCTTTTTAACTCCCGCAGGTCAAAGTGCTCCAGATCAGACTGGAGATACCTTAACAGAAAAACACACAATGTTACATGAGTACAACTCTTCTCTGGGGCTGTCATTACAAACTCGAAACTAGAACAAATACATTAGCAACTAGCATTAGTATCGCCTCTTGTTATCATTCAACTTACATGGGAGGAATGTTGGTGCTGGCAATGAGTTCATCTTTGAGTCTGATCAACTCTCGCTGTTTAGGGTATTCTTCAAATCGGTCAGCCAGTCCTTAAAATCAGAAGACTTGGATTTCAATAAAACGCAAGCAGAGACAAGACTATGAAACATTAACGAAGCAGTGAGATACTCACCACCGTCCCTGATGAAGTTTTGTGGCCTGTGACCAGTGTCTACAAAGTGCTGGCAGTAGTCATTGTGGGGGTTCAAGCTTTGGGTACCCTGAGGATGAAAGAGCAAGAGAAAGTTAATGAGAGTGAATCTGAATTAGGAAAACGCATTTGGAAAAGAAAGTTTTTTCTGATGCATTTTACCCTTTTAAGTTAAGGAAAATGGAAAAAGTTCATTCTATTATAAATCTAAACCTTTTACATGAACACAGGTACATTTTTTCTAGGTGCGGGTAGCCAACATTGATTTTTTTAAAGACTTTTCTGTTGAAATACAATATCTATTTACCTCTTAACCTTTATAAGGTCTAACATTGATTTGATAGCCTACGTTTGGTGAGGAGAAAGTTAATGTGGATTAATGCATTAGGGCATCTTCAGCAGGCTGTGCCTTGTGGATGTAGTTTATTGAGCTTTTATTTACTTCAAGTTCTTCCATATCAATATAATATATAAATCCAGCTTCATCTTAACCCTCCACTAAACCATAGTTTGAGCATAAGGTTGTGTCATTTATTCTAAAAATAAGAGAACTTTTTCTTCTGACGCATTCCATTGACACCGAGTCAACCTGCCACGGCTAAAAGAAGACTTGTTATCTCTAAAGCTTTACTGTCCGAGACACATGAATTGTCAGTCGATCATGTGAAGCACATCTGATAAAGATAACACATGTTAAACCTTTTCATTTTCCTTTTTATATCGGTGAGACATTAGAAAGTCATGCTGTTTGTATTCAGACAGAACACAAAGCAGGGCTTGATCTCAGACATGTCGTGGTGATTTTCCACGGGTCAAAACTGATCCCCCACACCTTCCTTTTATTTTTATTCAGTTTTTGAATGACATCAATGATAAGAGGATGATAATAGAGCAACCACAATTAATCAGGCTAATCTTGATTAATTGATTTGGAGCATATTGATTTTAAAAAATGCTCTCTGCAAAAAAAACCAAAAACAAACCAACTTAAAGCAGTAATTATACCAAAATGTATTTAGGGGGAAAAAAACTTCTTAATTGAGCTCTATCCAGAACTTCTTCACTGGCATAGTTTTAGCTTAAACTTGTTTTAAAATCTGAAAAAGAGATTTATAGATGACTTGAAACTTTTTGATTATTTACTGATTAATAGCAAACAAATAGTAAACAACTTGACAGTTTATTCTATTAGCAAAACAATGATTAGATGCCACACACCATGTTTATATGAGGTTATTGAATAAATGGAAATTTTAAATTGAATTACCAGCAGTAAAAGAATTTGAAGGTAGACTTTAGAAAATATATATTTTTTTTTTGTTTGTTTTACAGCATCTTAAATAAAAGAAAAAGCCCTTAGCAACTACTATCTGTTACAATAAACAAAGTCACGACAGCTATAAAATGTTAGAAAGCGGAGCTTAAAACAGCAACTTTTTCAAAGACGAAACCTGATGCAGAACATACCAGTGCCATTGACGTCTTTTCTAGCAACTAATTATGAATTCTGGACAGATTCCAGTATCATGTGGTTTTAAGTATTTACCAAAATCCTCTTCCTGATACTGTCCGGAAAGTGATCAGGATTTGTCAATTTGACAGAAACCACACTGAATGCCACTGTATTATGATACACTTAATGCAGGGAATACTTTCTACCACTAAAATATATTAAATAAATCAACTGAACTAACACTGATAAAAAACCTGAGGCTTTTCAAAAGAATGTGCTCCAACCTTAAGGAAAGTACTGGAATCCTTGTACACTTCCTCGTACGGGTTGCTCTCTTCCTCCTGCTGCACCTCTACTTCATCCTGGCTCACAGCAAAACAACACAAACTGAGATGAAAATGATGATAAAAAGTGCACATTTTGCATCACAAGAAATATTTATTGATCAATACAAATGACAGCTTTTTTGATAGCAATTTAAAAAGTGAGCAAAATTACAATGATTGTGAAATCCTTTTTAAAACAAACACACTGATGAATTCTGTATTGTGAGAAGTTATGAAAGCATAAAAAAAAAAAAAAAAAAAAAAAAATCGAAGGAGTCAATCAATTTAGACAAGATAACAAAAAGGGGGAATCCCGAGTCAACTTCGTTTTGTTTTTGTTATGGTGGGCAGTACTAAGAATGACATAAAACAGAGGTCACTAAATGACAACAGGTAGGCTGAGCCAAAGTGAAAAAGCATATGATTGGTTGGCAGAATGATTTTACGTCCCCCTCAAAAATGTTCCTTCTAAACTGATATGAAAAAAAAAAATACAGAAGGAATCCTGATATTAAACAATGACTTCTGTGTTCATGAATTTGTGGAGCTCAGATCGAAAAGTAAGAAAAAAAACAATCCTACTTAATTACTGAATCAAATTGAATGTTAAATAAACAGAGTCAAACAGGTGAGACAGTCTTCAGTAAAACTCAGAGCACCATTTACTTAAACTGTGGAGGGAATTTTACAAAGAATGTGACTGATATTTACCTGTTAACTAACTGGAGGCTTTTGTGTGTGTGTGGGGGGTTAATTATGCCATTAGATCTGCTTGTAAAGGCAAGGTGGATCCAACTGGGTGGAGCATTATCATTAATAACATCAAGTAAAGACACTCACTTTTTGCTCTTCGGTGTCCTCTCCATCAGTCAGCGGCTTCCTTTTGGAAGGAGGGGCTGAGCTATCATATGAAGCTCTGCAAAGCAAACAGATTTAATGCATATTCCCATTCTAAAAAAAAGTGTGATGATCATTGTGAAGGGCCGCACCACTTTTATTTCAATGATCTCTGCTGTAAACTAAATGAACCTCCCAAACTGTTTTTTAAAATAAGTAACATTGGTAATTTAAGTTTTTGAGAAACAACTTCTATCTGTTGAATGGTTGGCATCTTAAACTTGTGGGAAAAGCAGCCTCAGCAAAGACTCCCACACTTTGAATCATGATATCAGTTCCCTGAAAAATATTTCATACTCTATACCACACCTCTTCAAGGTTTCCCATGGCCAAGGACCCCAAGCTGATGGCGAAATTGGCAGGGACCCCCTAATTGTATATATTGTATGAAATTGTGTTATATCAAACTGATTCTATCACTGGTCACTCTATTACAGATGGAATAATGTAACAAAAGTCATGTCGCTCTGGGATTATTAAAGTATTTCTGATTGTGATTCCTGGTTGATGTGACAGGTGTTGTGAATGAAACGGTGCCCAGCTTGAAAGAGTTCCTGTGTGTTGCTGAATTTGTGCATTGATGACTGAAAGACATCTTCTGCCTCCATTTATCTGTTTACTACAGTGTGTTGAATTTTAATGTGTATCTAAAGACATTTATATTAGTGGAAAAAAATTGCGGGGAGAATATAAAATAAGTCTAATCAACCGAAAGTTTGGCGATCCCCCCAAAAAACAAAAATGTTTATATTAAAATGGAACAAGCTTTCTCAACAGAATCCCAGACGTAGGTAAATAAGTGTGCAAAAAGAATTAAAAGTAAATAACCCAAGTATAAACTATTTCACAATATTTTAAGGTTGTCTTAGATGGGATTCTCTGATTATGCAAATGATCCAGAAGTCTTAAATTTATAATAGCAAACATATGCAGAACAACACTTTTCTTTTGGTAAGAATATTTTTCACAGTATCAATAATCGTTTGATGGTGATAATCTATTAACCTGCGAGCAAACATCCAACTGTGCACATGCAGAATTGAGTAAGAACAACTACAAGTTTTAGAGCAATGGAAAGAACCACTGCATTCCTGCTACAAGGACGAAAAATGCCCCAAGGACAGGTGATGAAAAGTAGCACTAACTAGCTTAGGCAAGTCACTATTCAGGAATCTGAGAATGGAAAAGTAAAAAAAAAAAAAAAAACACAAGTAACCATGCTACTGGTGGGTTATATATTTGGCTTTTAAATGATTACTATTTACACCCCTTGTTAAGGTATTTTCTGTTACATGCAAAGCAGGTTTGCTGGGATTCACGCCATGTTGCACATAGCATGCCCCACAGAGCTACTGCACATTTCAAATGTATTTCTGCCGTTATAACATTTTCATATCTGTCAAACACCAACAAAAAATATAAGTGTATTTTAAAGCGATTATGTGCAAGCATGGCTTTATTCAATCTGAAGTCAGTCAGAGTTAAGAGATAGCATCTATTAGATAACGTCTTGCCAGTTGTCTTTACCAAAAACGCATGAAAATGCTTTGACTTAAATGTTAAATGCTTTCATGGTGGCTCTGGTTGCATGTTTAGGGTTGTGGTCCAGTAAAAAGGTTAACAGATCTTGTGAGACCAGCTAGCAATTACTTTGACAGGTTATCTAACCCTGATATGTGGATCTTCCCTGCTGCTCCAGGACACCCAGAGAGCTGATCAGGGTTCCTCTTTTTCCCTTGGTATTTCCCCCTGGTATGTCAGTATATGGAGGCCTCTTTTCCTCTTTCAGGTGATATTTTGGAATGTGACATAACTGTTTTACACTCAATATACTCTCAGATCTGTTTATTTAAGCATCAGGCAATATTTATCTAATAGTTCTTGATTAAACTTACCTTTCCAGTGCTATGTAAATTAACTGCAAACAAATAAGTTTTTATTTGAGCCCCACATTCACATTATAAAGGTGTTTGATCTTACCTGCATGTTTCTCTCGTCTCTTCTATCTCTTTGAGCTCATCTTTACTGTGTAAAACAGCTCCAATGCTGTCTGCGCTCTCTGCTCCTAACTGTGGGTGGAGACGAATTAATATAAATATTAATATAAAGCATGGTTTGTTTGGGTTTAAGTATCAAATTAGCTGCACCATTTTATCAGTTAGCTATAATGGCTCTAAAAATAAACATATTGCATTCATTTACACTGATAGTACAGCTATTCCTCTATTTCTGCAGATGTAAGAGACTTATGCGACTATCGGACAATGCATGGACGCTCTAACCGTTATAATGCGTTTATTGGTCCGATATAAACCTGTATTTTTAGCAGCTACTCTGCCAGCTAACCCAGTGATAGCATACTTGCCTGCTGAGCTAGCAGTTGCCGCCTTAGCTTTTGTCTCTCGCGTATCTCTTGGAGCCTACTGTTCATTTCTTCCTTTTAATAACTTCTTTTAAAAAATCGAGAAATGAAACACAGATAATAACATTTAAATCTCTCCTCACATTTAATGGAAGCAACTGAGCTACAGTGAATAAAAAGCTAAAGGATGATAGCCGCTAAAAATCCCAATAGGTACGCTTGTTATTGATATCGGAACACACGACTTTATCCGCATCTTTGCTCATAGTTTTATTCTTAATTGGGACTCTTAACTCAAATATGTGTCATACTATGTGTTTACATAAGTAATTCAACAATAAACGGAAAGTGTTCGACCGAGCGGGGAACTTAATCTCTTTAATTGTCAGCCCGCTTACATGAACAAGTACCGGTGTGCACAGACTTTAAAATCGAACATACCCTTAACTTAATAAATGGTCGCTCTTTGCTGACGAAATCAAATTGGACCCCTTTGTTTGACGTAAACATGTCCCGCTTCCAACCAGACTACTCAAATCCATTTCATTAAACTTCAGAGAGCGCTTGAAAATATTTTAATTTAATTACGTGATGAAGTGACGGCAACAAAATAAAAAGCAAGAACAGTTAGATTGATAAATTCAATTCTGTTCAATTCAAAAATACTTTATTAAAATCAAAGTTAAGTGAAATGCTGCAGTAACTCATCGCATTTAAGAAGTTGTTGACTATGTCAGTAGCTGTTGTCAATAAGGATCTTCTTAAAGTTTTGTCGCAAACAATCAAGGCATTAATTACGGCCCAAATATAAATGAAATGATGCATTTTGTGCCTGAATGCACACTGACGGAATGTATTGTAATTAATTGATTATTTATTATCATTATCGTTATTCATAACTATTATTTATCATTATTATTAAGTAAATGTTTGTCGTAATTATTTATAAGCCAAAAAAAGAAGGCTTTGTCTTTGGTCCACTCTATAAAGCCTCGAACTAAACGCTATTTCTGACTTTTTGAATTGAAAAATCTTCCTTTATGGCAAGCGAAATGGATTATTTTTTAAATTTTTTTTTGTTTGTTTGATTTAGTTTACTTAATTATTAAACTTAAAAAGTAAAAGTTAATGGAAGAAATTAAGGAAACATTCTGTGCAGACAAAAAATTGAGAAAAACTTAATTGATGAAAAAGAATCAATGATGTAATTGTATTATTATTATTATTATTAATATTTTTTTTAATAAAGTTTATTAGAAAATTCTTTATAATACAGAAAGAAGTACAAATTCCTGTGAACAGCCAGGGGTTTGAGCAAAAAGTAATAAATAAATAAAAAGTAACTGAATAAAAGTAAAAATAGCAATAGTAAATAGATGCATGTAAAGGGATTACGTAAATATTTTTAATTTAGAGCATAAAGATAGAGTTTTAACAGCCTTTTTGTTATTGGAGTAGGACAATGCAGAAAAATAAATTGTTGCCTACTTTAATGTTTAATAAGTTTTATTACTTCTTCCAACTCCTTTTCGAACATGATGGTATGTACATATGTTTTTTCTTTTTCTTCTTTTTTGTTTTGTTTTGGTTTGTTATGACTTTATTAATTTACTTATATTTGCTTTTTATTAAGTGTTCGAAATAAATGATCAATAAATGTAAAAAAAATTTTTACATTTGTGGATATAAAACTTGGCCAGCAGTAGCAAAAGATGACATAAAAAGAAATGGTCAGAAAGTTATTTTTAAATTTTGTGATTCCAAATAAAATATCTTTAAAACAAAGTTCAAATTTGTCATAAATATTGTCAAGGAAGAAGCGACAGATACCTTGCCAAAAACACTCGTGTGTTCACAGGACCAAAACAGGTGAGAGATAGACTCTGAGTAAATGTTGCAGAAAGTACAAGTGGTATCAAGGTCCTTTTTATATTTAACCAAAAATGACTTTACTGGATAACAGTGGTGAATGATCTTAAAGGAAACCTCTTTAACCTTGTTTACTAGTAAATATTTCTTAGGTAAAGACCATGTTTTGTTCCAGCATACCTCTGAGACCAGACCAGACCAGACTGAAATTACGCAAGGAACTGGGATGCAGTTTGTTTGGAATAAAGTGCGAATATGTTTGTTATGTTTAGAAGATTTGGGTTGAAAACACAATTTACCTACATAGGTGTCAGTTAGTTCATTTGGAGCTCTTGGACCTTTGGAGAACAGAGAAGTCTGACCTTTAAATAACAGTATAACACCTGGTCGAATAGCATCAAAACAATAGCAAACTGTTTTGGGCTTATAGGAATCTTAAAATGGCACAAAAATTCTTGATAATTAAAGAGGTCGCCTTTTTCTTTGAAAAGTTGACTACCAGTGTGATACCATTCCTAAACCAGTTTTAAAAAAACAGAGATTTTTTCTTATACATATACCTTTGTTATTCCAAAGAAAGTTCCTATTAGGAGAAAAATTATGTTTGAAAATCAATGACCAGGCCAAAAGGGCTTGTTTATGAAAATTGGAGAGAGCGACAGGAATGCGATCAATGTTATAATTACACAGCAAAACAGACTTGAGACCACCTATCTTGTTATTGTTTTATTATGTTCCTTACAAACTGACAGTTTTTACAATAAGTAAACATGCACTTTCAAAGTTGTTCTTGTCGGAACCCTTTGAAAACATATCCTCAGGTGAAGGTTTTACAATATTCACGGAACCTTTATTCCTGAAGATGTTCCAGACTTCTTAAAAGTGGTGAATGTTGTATGAAGTCCTTTTGGGAACAATTCTTAGAGGATATATATGTGGATGCACTATACCGTATACCCCATGCACCTTTACCTCCTTTTGGCACCTTCTTGCTCTTTTTGACCATTGAGCCAATGTAATGAGTACATTTCTCCACTGTGAAGATCAATAAAATCAATCAATCAACCAATCAATAAATCAATCTTTAAAAGTTAAAATATAGGGGAACTATATATAGGGAAAATATATGGGAATTTTGATAAAGTTGTAGTTTCAATGGAATATTTGGGTAATATAATAACCTTTGCACTGTCAAATGTCAAAACTGACCCAACTTTCGAGCAAGAAAATTTAAAGACTTAACCACATTATATAACCATAACCCATAACCTGTCGATATTAACTTATTTTCCAGGAATATGCAAATAAATTGCAAAAAGACGTTTTGAATTGATGTTGTTATGAATGTGAGATTATGAATCATTATGAATGAAAAAATATGCATATATATATTGTAACTGTAAATATACAGTCATATGTTTATATTACTTTTTAAAATGTACATATAACTGTTTTCAAGGCTGCAATAAAAAAATGAAATTGTCTAGAGCTGTTTTAGACGAAATTTGTTTTTGTATACACTCATGTAAACAAAATGACAAAATGAATCTGTCTAAGTCTAAGAATGTACTCTAATAACGTCTCTAGAGTGATACATAATTTCTAACGATGATGCATGAAGAAAAATAAAGCTCGTGCATTGCATCAAAGTCCAAGTCTTTATGGAGATCATTTGCATCTAACGCACTTGAAATGGTAGTGATTAAATACAACAAATAAAGGAGGAAAACAACAACAAAAAAAGGATCTTGTTTTAAAGCTGTTAAATCTTATTTTTGCTTGTAAACATGCATCCTTATTCCTTGTCAAAATGGGAATATCCCATGAATCACTGATGTTCATTTTTTTTTTTTCCTCGGAGTGTTTCCTCCCCATCCATCCATCCATCCACCCACGCAAAGGGATCAATGCTGCTCCATCGGTTTCCAGCCTTTCCTCTGCAAAGCGCTACAGCTGACTGGATGACTGGGAAGCCGTCAGCTGATGACTAAATCAGATCTACACCGTTATCAGCAGCTCTGCTCACAGTCCCAACATGAGTGCGGCGTTTCTTGCCTCATTGGTCGTGTTGGTGACTGCGAGCGGCTGTTTTTCCAGCAGCCTCCCGCCGTCCGCCGACTGCGCGCAGAGCCGGGGGAAGGACGCTTCTTACCGGGGAGCCATCGATGTGACCGACTCCGGCAGCCGGTGCATGAACTGGACCGAGGTGGCCGGATTCAAAGAGCGCTATCCGGACAGAGGAATAGGAGATCACAACCACTGCCGCAACCCGGACGGCAGGATCCGACCCTGGTGCTTCTTTAGGAACCTTAAAGGGAGAATAGATTGGGGCTACTGCGACTGTAAACAAGGTAAACATGCAGGCCTGATGCTATTTTTATCTGACATGAACAGCAGATATAGACACACATCATCCTCGTCTATTTTTGTTATCATAAAAAAACTATATATATTTATTTCATTATTATTTTATGCTTATTTTATGCTAGGTTAAAAAGTAATAGAGATGAGTCTGCAGATGTTTTCCAGTGCAGCATACTTCCTTTATGACTGCACGTGTATTTACATGTCTGGTTTTAACTGATCATACTCACTTATGTGGGAAATATGTTTTTATCATTTAAATCTTGCAAATAAACCCTGCGCCACTGATTTTTAAAAAGTAAAAATGAAAAAATTACCAAATATAAGCAGTGTGTAACAGGCGCCTATGGTCTCTTGTTGTGAAATGTGGGTAGCTTTTGACAGGCTGTTCTCTGTCTGCTGCAAGTTCAGATCTGCTGATAACAGAAAGCAGCACACCTGCTCTACCTGTGCCAAGCCCAGTTTATTTGCGTGTTTCAGCATGGGTATAAACACATAAATAATCTTTATAATCCAAGATATGAAAACATGAATGTTAAGGTAATCTGAGTATAAATTTAAGGTCTTACAGTTTAAAAATAAAGAAGATAACATATCACAATAATTCAATTCAGAAAAAGAAACTTATTAAGCATATATCATGATATGTCTGTTTATTTCTGCTGATTTGAAATATCCATGATTTCTAATGGAAAAGCTGTTATGTTTTTCAGAACAACATAAGAAGTTGCACCCTCTAATTGGCTCCATTTGCATTAATTACTCCATCCAAATGCTGCAGTACTGAGATAAACAGCCTGTGATACTGCAGATGTGTTAAGGAAGCCCAGGTTGTTTTAACAGTTGTTTAGCTCGAGGACAGACTGCTGACTGATCAGTAACTGTGATACCAGAGTCTTTAAACCTGAGTGGAGGCCAGCTTGGGAATGAAACCAGCATCTCTATTAAGCTTATCAATTAAGGAAAGTGTGGAGTGCTCTAAAATTTCTTGTACTGATTTTGGACTATTAGTGGACTAACAGCTGCAGGTTAGTTTACGTGCTCTATAAAGCTTGGTTGGTTGATTGAATAATTACATAATTAAACAGCCAGTCAAACAATTAAGAGATAGAGTGATTTATTGATTGATTTATATCACTCAATAAAACCTCAGTGACTATGAAATGATTAAGCAAATTTAGTCCTCTTTCATGTCCCTTAAAGTTAAATATAAATGTCACCTTTCATCTGAAAAGAGGGGCTTTATGGTGGTGCAGTTTGTAGCACTGCTCGATTCCTGGCTTTCTATATGGAGTTTGCATGTTCTTCCCATACAAAAATGAGTGTTAGTTTAATGATAGCCTTTTAATTTTGGGTCATCTCTAAATTGTCCCTAGGTGTGAGTGCATGGTCGTACTTCTCTGTGTTGCCCTGCCACAGACTGGTGACCTGTCCAGGGTGTACCCTGCCTCTTGCACATACACTGCTAGTGATAGGCACTGGTCCCAACACGACTCTGGCGAAGATGGGTGGATCTGAAAAGAGATTTTTTACAATTTAGAGACATAGATCAAAGTATCAGGTCCTGTTTTTGAACTGTTTAAGAGAGAAGCCCCCCCATCATGAGTAGAATATTGAAATTCCTAACAGAAAGGACCCAGACTGATATTCAAACCTGGACCCTCCTCAGACTTACTACCTGTACGTTTAAGAATCAATAATTTTGTCTAATGCTTGTGCACAACTAATCTTGAGTTGTATTATGTTCCCACCCATCAGCACAGACCTCTGTCTCATCCCTCTTTCTCCTACTTTTCAATCTTTTTTATAAAGGAATGAAAAGGTTTTGTTGTCTCATTACTAAAGATCTGCAATATCTTTTATTGCTCTTCTTTTCTTGAACAGTTGCAGTTTGACAAAACATCAAATAAGTTACAATTGCTTATGTACAGAACACATGTATTTATGGGTTGCATGATATGTATAACAGAAGTTTTAGATGTGTTTCTGCTCAACTTGTCTGAAAAAAAAGAATGCATTTTCTCCTCAGCAGCCTGAGGCCCATTAATCACTAATTTATTTAAGTGCAGTATATGGGGGCAGGGGAACAGCTAAAACATACAGGACAGTGGGTCATGGGGATCAGGATTGAGGACCCTCAGTGAGAGGTGGGTAAATTCAGTTTCAGAAAGTAAAAACCTTTTCCAAGTAAACCAGTAGTCTCAAATTCCACCTACAGGGCAAGTGTCCTGCAACCTTTAGATGTGTTCCTTGGCCGACACATCTGAATCAAATGGCTAAACCCTTTCAAGCTATACAGAGCTCCATTATGAGCTCATGTTGGAGTCAGGTGTGTGGAAGCTGAGACTCATCTAAAAGTTACAGGACTGCAGGCCTCAAGCACTGGAGTTTGAAACCGCTGTTTTAAAGATTAGTCCTTGTCTATGTTTTGAAGCTGGAAATGCAAATGGTTAAAAGCAATCTCTGTTCTGGCTTTTGGCTTTCTGAATCTGGATTCCTCACCTCTATCCATTGTCTACAGTAGGCAATGTTTATAAAAAGAATTATTCATATTCTTGTGCTCTACACTTACTCCATACTTTGATTTTCTTAGTTTACTTTTTCTAACCTTATCTCATCCTTAGGCTCGGTGCGTCTGCAGGGAGGCCGCTCCAAACTTGATGGCAGGGTGGAGGTGTATCTGGGAGGAGTTTGGGGGTCTGTTTGTGGCAACGATTGGGATGACAAAGATGCTGCAGTGGTCTGCAGACAGCTGGGCGAGGGGTGAGTGCCAGCATGCATGCACACACTTGTGCTCACATGTGTGCTCATCCTCACACGTGTTCAATCACAGGCACTAAAGGGTTATCACCATCTGTGCTAAATTCACAAGTTGCACTCATCCGACATAATTTACTAAAAACTGTTCTTTTCAAAGCGTGTGTACTTTTTATGACTTTTACATCCCTGTCCCCTTTTTTCACTTAGGTATTTAATTAATTTCAGAGCTCAGTTATTTACTAGAACGCTGCAAGCTCACTGCTTTTCCCAGCTGATCTCTCCAAGCAACTTGTCCTGTGGTTCTAACTATGATATATAGCCATGCCAGAAAAAGGTCTCTTGGGAGCCTGTAAAGCAGTTATTCATATCAGCAGTGTTCGTAAGATGGGGCATACTTGCTGGAATGAGGATCCTGCTTTCCCTGGAAAACCCAGTCACTCTATACATACACTCACTAGGCATACTGTTATTAACACCAGTGCAGGCCCACATTCTGACACGGATGCACGTCTGTGCAGCATATGCGCATTCACACAGAAGTCAATGAAAGCACACAGTCAAAAGAGGGGAGGGCAAATGTCATCCATATATCAGGAGGGAGCGTCAGTGATGACTTTCCCATGGTAAGTTATTGAAAGCTGCTGGTGAGCAAACTGAAAGCTGGTTATAACAGCAACCTAGAGGCCTGCAAACCCAACAGTGAGATAGATTTACTAATAGTTATTTTGTTTTCTGATCACATATCAAAACAATTATTTGTTTTTATAGTTTATTTATGCTTAACACTGTTTTTGCATCCATTTTATAGTATAGGCTGCCTCTTGTCCTTCTTTTAGGGTCTCTGGTATTGCTCGTTCGGCTCCTTTGTTTCATCCCCAAACAGCCAAGATTCACTGGTTGGCAGTCCATTGTCAGGGAGAAGAGCCAGACCTGCTCCAGTGTCCTAAAAATACCTGGAAAGGAGAAGAATGTTCTCTGGCCGCAGCTGTTACCTGCACTCAACAGAGGGGTAGGTGTGCCTTATTTGGGTTACCAATGATTTAGGGATTCCTTTATTATGGTTTGCAGGATAAAAGGGGATCTGAAAATCTTGCTGACTTTCACAGTCCTAAATCGATTCCTTAAAGATGATCATTTGTTTGCAAGCATTTTCACACTACTTTCTTTTTTTCATTTTATGACTATAGAACCATACAACTCAACTTATGCGATGTACCAACACAATCAGGTGCATAACTGAATAGTAAAAGATAAATGATACAGATGCTGCACAGTTTTTCCATTTAATAATTATGCAGTTATTTGTGGATATCTTCCAGTTAAAATCATAAAAAAAGACAACAAAAACAAAACTTTTGATTTCTGGTTTTATCATTAAAAATCAACAAAAGTTCAAAGGGTGTCTACAGGTTTGGAAGGCATTGCACCTGGATTGGGAAGGTCAGATTATTATACTGGCTGAAACTGCAAGAATGTTGTCTAAAAATACTTGTAAACCTGTGAATTTCATTTTATGTGCTCGGCAGCGGTCAGGACCCTTCCTATCCGGCTAGTAGGAGGTCGGTCAGAGTCAGAGGGCAGGGTCGAGGTCTTCCACGCAAGACAATGGGGCTCCATATGTGATGACCAATGGGATGACAATGATGCAGAGGTGGTGTGTCGACAACTGGGGTTAAGGTGAAAATAAGGATACACAGACACTCAGTACCTTCCCCCACAAACACCCCACCCACACACAAAACACACCCATACACACACACACAGCTGCGTTTTCATGCTTTTGGGGACATTTCATTGAGTTACATTCATTTTATATTGTGTAACCCAGACCACATCTTAGTCCTAAACCTATCGCTAACCTAAAGAAGATAACTTTACCATACTGGGACCAGTTGGATTTCCCCATATATACCTGGAAGTACTCCTAATTCAATTCAAATCAGTTTATTTATATAGCACCGATTCATAACAAATTTCATCTCAAGGCACTTTACAGTTCACCAGATCATACAGTCAAATTGATTCAAAGTTTTCCATCTAAGGAAAACCAGTAGATTGCATGGACTCATTGACTCAAAGTCAATCCCTCATTTTTGTATTGATCATTTATTTCGAACACTTAATAAAAAGCAAATATAAGTAAATTAATAAAGTCATACAAAACAAAACAAAAAAAGAAGAAAAAGAAAAAAAAAACATATATACATCCCATCATGTTCGAAAAGGAGTAGGAAGAAGTAATAAAACTTATTAAATCCTACCCCTGTTCTATATTAACATCTACCTATGTTTAAGCATACATACATATCTATATATACACACACACACACACACATACATATATACATATATATACATACACATACTCATAGATACCTATACATATATATACACACATGCATACTTACACATACACCCGTATCTCAAACACATACACACATACATGCATATACATACACACCCCAATTACTATAGACAGTATACACATATCTCTATCTACATATACGTACACATATATCCATACATATCCATAAACCAAAAACCCTTTTCTCTCACTCTTTTTTTTTTTTTTTTTTCATCTCTCTTGACTTCTTATCGATTTTAATTCATAGTGGCAGAGCAAGTTCTATTCCCCCTCAAGTCCCCTCCTCCCTGTATCTTGTAAAAATCATTTGTTTATATTTGTTTTTAAACTGGTTGATGTTTGGACATTGCTTCAAATCCATGCTCAGTCTGTTCCATAGCCTCACTCCACTATTTGTTATACAAAATCTTTTCCTTGCAGTTCTGTATCTTTGAATCTTAAAATTTGTTATCTCCCTTAAATCATACCCCCCCTCTCTCTCATAAAACTAATTTGTCAAGTGACTTGGTAATAGCTTATTTCTAGCTTTAAATAGAAATTGTGCTGTTTGGAATTCTATCATATCATAAAGCTTCATGATTTTAGACATTATAAATAGTGTGTTGGTGTGTTCTCGATATCCAACTTTATGAATTATTCTCATGGCTCTTTTTTGCAATATGAACAGTGGCTCTAGTGAACTTTTATATGTGCTTCCCCATACCTCTATACAGTAAATTAAATGAGGTAAGACCAAAGAACAGAACAGAGCATGGAGTGATTTGTAATCTAAAAAATATCTTACTTTGGCTATTACAGAGATGCTTTTAGATATTTTAGTGCTGATGTATTTAATATGAGACTTCCAGCAAATCTTGTCATTTATTATCACCCCGAGAAATTTAGTTTCATATACTTTCTCTATATCAACCCCTCCTATTTGTACCCGTGCATGATGATTTATTTTTTTGTTACCAAATATCATATATTTTGTTTTACTCAAATTTAGTGACAGTTTATTTTTATTTAGCCAGTATTTAATATTAATGAATTCTGAGGTGATAGTGTCCAAAAGTTGCTCATTAAGCATGCTTGTAGTGACAGTGGAGAGGAAAAACTCCCTTTTAACAGGAAGAAGCCTCCAGCAGAACCAGGCTCAATGTTAGCGGCCATCTTCTGAGGCCTACTGGGGTTCAAGGAGACAGAAGCAGAGATATAGAGGATAACTGTAAATCTTAATGTAGGATATTTTAAAACTCTGCCTTCAACATTGTAGGTAAAACAAGACCAAACACCTATTCTCATTTTGGTATTTTCAGTGAGTACCATCCAATCCTATTGACTTCTATGAATGTTCTGTAATTTCTAACCCTTTATGTTTCCAAATCTTACCTTTCCCTGACCCTGAACTAAACTCAATTCAAGCCTTAGCCTTAAACCCCTTCTTCTGTTTACCGAAATTGGACCTCACTTTGCTGGTAAATAAGGAAAATTGTTCCCACTCAGATGAGGAAACAGAAACACACCTACACACTTAGAATAAACAATATTGATTTCTTTAAAAAAAAAAAGTATTATCTTATACAAAGCAATAGTGCTGCTGTGTTAATAAATCAAGGAATGAGTGCGTAAGAAAAAAATGAGACTGAGTAAATGTGGGTGTTAAGCCATCTTTCTCTCCCTCTGTCTAAAAGTATGACAAGTATTCTTTCCATTCAGACAACGGACAGAACAGTGAGCCGTAAAGAACATCTGGAAGTCAAACAGTGAATCAGCCTCTTTGTTCTTCCATGGATCCTCGCACCATAGAGTTATGCATATTTAGCAACACTATATTCATTCCCGGCGAATGTTTTCCAGTGTTTGTGTTTTTTAGAGTCGTATTTGACGATGACACTGTTTTAATTTGAATTAAGTCAGAGAAGCAAAATGGTTGTGCCATCCAGTTTAAATGTGAACTGTTTCATACACCCTGCTGTTTTCACTGAGGACATTGCCTTTTGATTTTATTAGACTTACTAAAGGGCAGGCCATTTATTTTCTGTTCACTGTGCTTTATTTTCAGTGGAGTTGCAAGGGCATGGAGCCAAGCACATTTTGGCAAAGGTACAGGCCGCGTCTGGTTGGACGAGGTACGCTGCTCAGGCAATGAGCTCACTTTAGAGCAGTGTCCAAAAAGTGCCTGGGGTGAACACAACTGTTTGCACTCTGAGGATGCAGGAGTGTCCTGCAGCCCTCTCACAGGTGAATCATCAGTTTCCCCTTTAAATGAACAGCACGCTGATATTCATTATCATGATCAACCTCCCAAAAGGAAGTCACAGCTTTTCCTGCTGAAACATTTACCCAAAGCTCTGAATACACTCAGGGATAGTTTACTTTCTTATCTAGTTTGATTGTCAGGCACATTTATGACAGATAACATGCCTGTTCATTTCAACGCATCTAAGAAGAACTAAACAACGCCTAATTATCTCTACCTATCATAATGTTCTACCACATGCACAGTGATTAATAACAACAGTGAAAACACTAACATTAAAGAATGTTTGCTTTTCTTGTTGCCAAGTGATTAAATTTTCTTTTGGAAATAAAAAAACAAAACTATAGAGAATGCAAATAAAATCAAGAAAGAAAATACATATTTTTGCCATAAAAGATGGAGCTTTCCTTCTGCTTAGTTAAGTAAATACTTCAACACATTGATTCATGTGTAGTCACGGAATCAATGTGTTTAGAAACAGGTCATCTGGATTTCATTTACATTTACAGTCTGAATTCACTTTGACCTGTTGCTGTATGACAATATGGCTTTAGCTTGGCCTTATTTTAATAATGGCAAAATGAAGTGTACTTATTTTGATTCTACATTGTTTGCTTAGGGAAAAATAACAAAGCCCTAAAAAAAAATCTAAATATCAGGAATAGAGGATTTTTTTTTACTATACAGTAGATTGCTTGAAGTCATAAACTCAGCTCCCAGTTTGTTGTTTTTTAGATCATGTTCTAGTGCTTTTTCCACAACTTTCAAACCCATTTGTTATTTCATAGATATTTGAAATTCTGGGATTCTCAGACAAATATTTTTTCCTAATCCTTTACAGTAATCATTCCAGATTAAAAGAGACTGTATTGGCTGTTGCAGGAAGCAGTTGGAAGACTAATTAAATATTACAAAATTCAAAGTAAAGCACAAACTTTATGAAATGGGGGGAGGTATTTTAATCAACACACATTTAGTAGGAACCCTACAAAAAAGCCATACAGTAGTTTTACTAGTGTTAGCCAACTGACTTCACCAAATTATCAGTTTAGTGCTCTGCAGCTACTTAGTTAAAAATATTTTCAGTAGGTCAAGACATTAATTCTGTAGTTTGTATATTTAAAATTGGGCACATCTTAATAAACATTGTACATAACATACTAAGTAATACCGGTAATACAATTGTTGTTTTAGGTATTGCTTTTTAACAAAGAAATTAAGTTGGCACTAGGTCAGTCATTTAATAAACCTATTTGAATGTAGTCTGCATTTGTTATCATAATCTATTACTATTGATTATGATACCAAAAAGCATGAATGTCTTTATGTATTTTTTATATGTCAAATCTAAGAGTACAGGTAACAACTGCAACTTGAAATAAGTGTCTCTTTGTCTCTTCATCTCTACAGATGGTACCACCAGACTGGTTGGCGGAGCTGGAAGCCATGAGGGACGTTTAGAAATCTTTTATCGGGGTCAGTGGGGGACGGTGTGTGACGATGGCTGGACAGAGTCAAACACCCTAGTCGTATGTCGACAGCTTGGTTACAGGTAAGATGGAGTATTTATTCAATCTCACTTAAGGTTAACTATCAAGGTATATACCTTTATTTGTTGTTGTATAGCCTGTGTATTATTGCATGGCAGGATGGGCGAGACTCTGCTTTCTGAAGGACTTGATATAAACCCAGTTCCACGGTTTGGGGTGGGGTCAGGTCCCATCCTTTTGGACGACGTGAGCTGTACAGGAAAAGAACCCAGCCTATTGTTGTGCAACAGGAGGGAGTGGCTCCACCATGACTGCACACACCATGAAGATGTTAACATTGCCTGCAGCTCTAAGCACAGTAAAGACAGTCCTCCAGCCAGTAAGACCACATCTTATCATACTGTAATGCATGCCTTACAAGGAACACATAACAGTGACATACGAAAAAACAATACTTAAATACTTTAATGCTTTTAATCAGATGTTGCTGACTGCGTCTTAAACCTGTTGAAAATTGATTAAACGTATGAGAATCATTAAATAAATTTTCACGAACTTGGCTTTGCTGATTTATGAAGGCCTATAAGTCAGAAGATCGCAAATATGTGGTTATTATATGGCTTTGCTTTTCAAACATGGGGTGTTGTAAGGTATTTGCAAGGTATTGCTGCCAGGAAATAGTGAAGGTGTGTTACAAACATACTCCTTTTTAACACCAGTTACAAGATTTTGTTGTATTTTAATATTTTCTAAATGCTTTTTTCAAATATTCCAAATCCATGCTTAAACGGCATTTATTGGACTAACTGGCTGTTTCCTTCTTTTTAAATAGAAAGGCAGCTGAGAGAATAAATGTTGCTGCCTTAACTACAACTGCATTGCAATTTCTACACGCACTGTATAAAAGAGTGTTACCTAACATGTTACCTTTTTAATATATTACAATTTATCGCACTGAATTTTTCTTGTTTTAAGCCAGTTGTTTTTTTTTTCTTTTTCTCGATTGCCAGAATAAAAAAAATATATTTTGAAGGTTCTTGTTTTAGATATCTTCCCATTCTGTAGTTTACACAAATCCTTTTTTACTTAATGGATTTTCTTTTTCTAGCTGTAAGATTTTGGACATTTAGGTTTTATTCCATAAGCTTCATACATTAGTTTAAGGTAGTTTTGACCCATTACTCCAAGGACCTGCTGTGACTGATTGATGCCAACAGAAAATGCTAATTTTTTTCTCAGAAATGTATTTTTTTTTAGATTGAAATCAAGCCATGAGACGATCATTCCTAAATATTTCTTTGGATTTCTTGCTAATCTGGCAGCATATTTGGATTTATTGTTTATTCGAAAGATTTATTCACTCCCAGGCCTATGTGTTTTCATATTGCTTTGACCTTTCCATGAACTGTTCTTTCCTCATTATCTTATCTGTTGAAATTTATTTATTGTTTTTTTTTTTTTTTTTAGATTTTTTTGAACTGTTGTCATTACTCTCTGAAAAAAGAAGCAAAGTTAAATTCTGATCTACTAAAGGACTACTCTAACCTCTTGAACCTTTGCGCTTTTGATTGTTTTACAGCTAATAACTTTAATACATTTTACTGGGACTGTGTAATACACCAACACAGTTTGATGACACATAATTTCATAATTTATAGAAGTAGATATATGAAAATGTGCTGTATATTTGAAGAAAAGCATCCTCGTAGCATTATTCTGCCTTTCAGCTGTTATATAATGAGATATGATATGTTAAGGGTTATTTACACTATTAGTTTCTTTTTTACCACTGATTTTATTAGTAAAATAGGATGAATATAAATATAAGCAAAATGTTTTATATGTTTAATGATGAAGAATATATCCTCCACAGTATGTGACATTAAGGTTTGTTAATGTATCCCAACAAACTCTTCAAAATTAAGGCAGGTTATTAATGTTTTCTGAGTTGTAAAACCCCAGTGTATATCTTTGTCTCCAATCTAATCTTTCATTGTTTGGGTTAATCCAGGCCATCTAAAGATAACCCGGACCTGAATGTAGCTTGTGGTGCAGCTCACTGATTAGGGAAAAACAAGCTGATCTGATCTAAGATCATTGCTAAACCGAACCTGGAGACAGATCTCAGATTACTTAGAGGAGGAAAGACAACATTCTCCCTCGAACATGAAGATGGTGAGGTCATTTAATGTAATCCCTGCTGCCTAAGCTTTCATTTCACTTGCCCTTTGTTAGTGCTGCTTGCAAAATCACTTTTACATTACAAAACCTCACGGCTTCAAATGTTAAACAGGTGATTCACAGAGTTGCAAAATTAGAACTGGCAAAAGTTTTACGCTGTAACCTGATGAAGCATCTTTGTTCCCATGAAACTAACCCTAACCCATGAAACATGAAACTCATGAATCAGACTTGTGAACTAATGAATCAAATTTAGAATAAATTTGTTATAAGCCTAGAAATTAACATAGGGAAAGAGGTTTATATGTCACATTTCTGTAATTGTCATAATTTTTAATGTATAAAAGCTTTAGTGCAGTTCAGATAGAAATGAGTTCCTCTTGATGGAAGTTTAGAAGGTTTCCATTGTTGGGAAAGAGTGTGAAGAACATTCTCCTCCCCCTTGCCCTGGGTTAATATGTCAAAAGTGCAAAATGTGTGTTGGTCTCTTTCTGGATCCTCTCTGATCGTGATGCAGACAAATTAGTCAGGGTATATTTTGGAAATGAATAAACAATGGATAAATCAGGCAATGCTATAAACTTTCCTCCTTTCAGTCATTTTTGAATCACTGCTGAGGTTTTAAAATTACGGCGACTTCATCTATTTATGAGTTGCGACACTTTTGTATTTTAGTTGTTTCGGTCATTTACATTCACATTAACATTCTGTTATGGGATTGCTGAAGCTGTTTAAATGTCTATGAACCTCGTATGAATTTTCTTCTCAAATATTTACACACTTTCTAACCATTTTAACACAAATGGGTGTGTATTAGTGTTAGTTAAACGCAATAGAAGTGTTGGTGTTTCTATGCAGGAGCTCAAACATGAGCACTTCTTTATTAGCCAAACGCAAACTAAGAGGCAAACATTCCCACAGTTATCTCCTCATCTTTGGTCTCGCCCCTATTGTCCTTCACAGACACATTAAGAAGATTCTTTGAATCTGTTATGTGTTTGAGTTTGTGCTGAAGGTGTTGAGAGTAACTTGATTTTGCTCTGAAACGTACCGTTAACAACATGCTGCCTGCACATGTCTGTTAGTTCAAAAAACATTCCTAATAAAAAAAAAAACAGAAATGCAAAAGAGCACAATATGTTTTCAAAGCAAACATGAAAAAGTCTGTCTGAACTTTGATTAATTGAAGTGTAAACTGATAGGCTAAACCTCCACATTGAAAAGCCATTAGTGTCTACTCAGTCAATGTATGTGCATATGTTTGAGCAGGAGTAGGCCCTAGTAATATTTAGCATAAAACTAACTCTTATTAATGTGACATTAGGTGTGTTTTAGTGCACATCTAGAAAAAAACAGATCAAGAAGCATTGACTTAACAGAAAAGAATAAAAGCGAAATAAATGTGCCTTTCTGACTGAACAGCCTTGGGGAACTCCAGGGTCACTTACACCAAAGAAAAATTCTGTAGGAAGGTGGACACATGTGCCGACTCCTTCCCTTGTAAAATGTGCCGGCGCAGGCTGTCATTATAGAAACAGTTTAGCCCGGAGGATCAGGTTTGTTAGGAATGTGTGAGTAATTTGTTTGAGCACTCCCAAACTCTCCAGCTAGTGAATTGAGTTTTACCCCAGACTGCCCCTGGAGCAGTTTGGGGTAAAAACTAAATTCACACGCTTAAGAGTCTTACTCAGCCAGGGACCCAAAGTAGTAGTCTGTGGGACTTAAACTCAGAACCTCCAGGACTCAAGCACAATGCTCTACCCACACACACACACACACACACATATATATTACCTGTATATATATTGCGGTGGGTCCTGGAGGTCCCCGGAGCCACTCTGGGTCCCGAGTTCAACTCCCACCAAATTCCACTTTGGGTCCCCGAGCAAGACCTTTAACCCCAGACTACTTCCAGGACCCCGCACAGCGGCAACCCACTGCACTCAAGGGGGTGGGTTAAATGCAGAAGTGAATTGTGAGATCAATAAAATTCATTCCATAATTATTGAGTACCTCACAAAAAATCCTATCCTTACAATATTGAGTAAATTTCTCAGAAACTGTCTATGGCTATTTTATATTTGTGTGTCAAATCATTGTACGGGTAAATTGAATACATTTAATTTGTGTGTGTGTTGTTTTTCAGGTATCCCTGTACGTCTTGTGGGAGGCGAAAGTTCCCGGGAAGGCCGGGTTGAGCTCTTTCTGTCCGGCCAGTGGGGGACCGTCTGTGATGATGGATGGACTGATCAAGATGCGGAGGTGGTGTGCAGGCAGCTCGGCTACAGGTATCGATATTGCACTTCTACATGTTTAGAGACGGTGCATATAACGGGTTTGTAGTTTAAGAGACGAGGCTACAAACAGTAACTACAAACTTTTTATGTACCCCCACCGAGGCGTACTAAGATATAATTTACAACCTTAGTTAAAAAAAAAAACTCTTTGAAAATATTCCTTTACCTTAAATGTTTTCAACCTAATCTAACATATATTGGTGTGAAAGAGGAGCAAAGCAGCTGTTCTTTGCAATTGTAAATGCTAAGTTTAACGATTTACCTGCCGCCATACATCAGACTGGCAGTCAGTAAACTGTTTGTGTTGGGCAAACAGTACTCAAAGAAACACTGCATTGTTTACAGACCCTTCACAGCAGTTTCCAACCAGTTTTCAAAGAAGCAACCTTTTGATTATTGCATTACACAGCAAACGTGAACCAATGTAGCAACAATCATCTGACCAAGCTGTAAATTCAAGATTGGATGCAAGCTGCAGTGGTTCTTTGTCACAGATTTTTCCAATAATTTGTGTTGAATTGTCAATTCAATTTCACTGAAAAATCTAACTTGTATTTAAAGTGGTCTGGATTAAAATTGATGGACTAAATTTAAATGAGGTTTGACTGACTTAGAATGTATAGTAACTTGAATCATTGTATAAATATTTATTATAATACATTGTAAATTTATAACATTCCTAATTGACATTGTACATTTTTTTGGCATTTAAAGCAGCAATTAGGGACTTTTCTACCAAATATATCCCTGTAAAGCTAAATGGCCTGTACTTATATAGTGCTTTTTCATGTCAGAAGACTTCAGTTATTCACCCATTCTTGCACACACCCACACACTGATAGTGGCAAGTTACATTGTAGCGACAGCTGCCCTTGGGCTCACTGACAGGGCCTTCCGACCATCATCAGTCGGCATTGAGGGTGAAGTGTCTTACCCAAGGACATAATGACACTGAAAGCCAGAGCTTGAACTGACAACCCTCCAGTTGTAGGGCAAACTCCTTCATCCGATGCCACCGTCGCCTCATGGTAATATACTGTTTATGAGATGATTTAGTGGTCCAACCCCCCCCACCCCCCACCCCCCGTGACTTGCTGGAAAACCATATTTGCAACTTTTTGTGCCACCAATCCTGTGGCAGTCTCGCAGCTCTGTTCTCCTCCTTTCACCAGAGGGATTATGGTAAACATGTTTATTTAGTAGCATGACCTCCAACAAAAGCAAGGATGAAGAACTGATGCAGACTTCACAAAGTTGTTGTAGTTATTAGTACAATATGTTGTAACCTTTGCCAGCAATTAAAAAATGGTTTGTTTAAGAGGCAGACTTACACTTCACTGACTTTGATAAAAAATAACAATTTGTAGCAAAAAAGCTACTGTAACTATCTAGCATTATATTTATTAGATATTGTACGATACTACCCACCTCTTCAGATATTTTGTGGCTCTGTAGCTGAGGGGTTCAGGCCACCAGGGCAGTCAGTGTTTATGAAAATGCTATTTTCAAAAGCTCCTGACTTCCAAATGCATTTTGAGCATCAATAATATTGGTCCAACAGCTCTACTTGGACATTTTGAAGTCAAACACTCTTAATGAGGAATGCTGGATACTCTGGATGCTCGGTGCCCCGGTTGTTAAGCTGCTCTGTTCTTTTACTTGCAGTTCAAAGAGTGTTTTGGATTTATTTGCTTTAATGAGTTGGAAAAAAAAGTAGTTTGAACATGTTTTTAAGTGAGAAAGTACACCATCAAAGAGCAACCGTCACTTTATCAGGATTATAATCCTATTTAAATATATTTGTTTGGAGCAGCAGACCCCCCCCAATACAGGCAAGGGAGGGAGGGTTGCAACTTATTTTGCAAATCGATTAATCTGTTGATTATATCTTTTATGAGCTGATTCATAATCGGATAGCCAAAAATTGTTTAAAGAAGACTTATTACGAAATTGAACCAGGGGAAACTTAAACTTTTTCACTTGAAGAATTCTGGATAATGCATTTTGACAAACAGAATTCTTTTTTAATCTTCAATCCAAAATGTAAATGTATTTTTTTTACATCAATCCATTATTTGACACGCTTGTCCCAAGTGGGGTCGCAATGGGTGCTGGTGCCTATCTCCAGCAGTCTATGGGCGAGAGGCGGGGTACACCCTGTACAGGTCGCCAGTCCATCGCAGGGCAACATATTTTTTTACAATCTTGATATAATCACTGCTCTAAGTGGGTCATTCTATCAGCTTAAGGCATGTTTTAAAGTCTCTATACTCCAGTTAACGATTAATCAATTGCAAAATTAGTTGCCGATTATTTCAATAATCGATTAATCAAATTAATGCCATTAATTATTTCAGTCCTAAAAGGGAGTCCCCAGTGTAAAAGCTCACTGAAGCCAGCCAGGTAGTCTGGGATTTCCTGCTGCAATTAGTTTTAAAAAAAAGTTTAATATAAATTGTTTTTCCAGGTAAAAATTGCAAGTACCACAATAAGAAATCGCAGGTATTTCACTATCAGGTAAAATCGATTCATAACATTGATCAATTTGATTACATAAGAGTTGGAAACATTTTCTATAGCACATTTGAAATATTCTTTTTGTCTCCACTCAGTTAAAGAAAAACCTCCTTTTGTCTACTACTAGTTTTATTTTACTGTTCAAAACTACCAACAGCAATGCAGATTAGTTATGGCTTTATAAATCTTTAATACATAAGATAAATATCAAAACATAAAAGCTATATCACAAAGTGGAGCCTCTGTACCGATAATACAAATATAGGCATTCTTAATTCAGAAACCTTTTAAAAATTTTCTACTTCAAAAACCTATAAATGAACAAAATTGAGAGTTAGGACCCTTCGTTGCAGACCTGCACTGTGATGTCTCCTGCACTGTCAGATCCAGAAGTTTATTCAAAGCCTTTCAAAGTAAAAGAAAAATATGATGAAGCTAGTATACTGGAACTATTTGATGTTCCCGTGTTTATTTCGTGGATTTTTAATATAGAATTCTTTATCTATTCATGTGTTTAATAATTTTGTATATAATCAGTTCAATTGAACATCGTTAAAAAAAGAAATCGTCAAAATACCAAAATTACCTCAGTTAATTTCTAATGACATCTCTTATCTCTGTTGCAAGTATTAGATCATATAGTCTTTATTCTTCTAGTATTCTCTGGATATGTTCTTACCTTCACTGGTGGCGCCAATGTACAGCAGACTCGCTTCTGTTAGTGAGCCCCAGGGGAGCTGTGGCTAAAATGTAGCTTGCATCATCAGTATGTCAGTGTGTCTAAATTTAGTTTAAAGCGCTTTGGTCAAATGATGTGAAAAAACGCTATATAAGTACAGTCCATTTACCATTTGCTGTTGGCCCAACTAGATGTGCCAGAGGAGGGTGTGTGATTTAAAATTATCTAAGCTTTGTTTACTCACAGTGAATTACTGAATACCTAGATACATGACCAACATAGCCAATAACTTTTTTTCCCCTTGGCACCAGAGAAAACAGTAGGTAGAAAACAAACTTTCAACTGTTTATTTATTTTCTTGGAAGTGTTTTAATTGTCGGGAACAGCAGATTTCACAGCATGATGTGCAGAGTTGAACTAAAGTTCAAGCAGGAGTAGCAATTGAAAAATATGTCTGTAGGAGACAGATAATTTTTTAATAAGTAAAAGAAAATCACCCAAAAAGTATATGACAAAACACTGTTTTCTTGTTACTTAGATTGGGAAGAGTAGGGAAAAGGTGCATTTAAGTGAGCAGTCACCTTGCAAAATATATGTCTTCTTCTTCTAATAAATTCAGGTAGCACACATGTGCTGCACGCAATTCCTGAAGGTTCAGAATAAAACGTCCAGAATAAACTTCTGGTCCTGACAGTGCAGGAGACCACATTGTGCAGGTCTTCAACAAAGCATCCTGACAGTGCAGGTCTGCAGCCAGACCCTCTCAAATCTGAGACCCTTTTTAACACTTATGCAAACATTAGGATTAGTATACTAATGTTACAATGAACATATCAGGCCTAAAGTTCTAACTGCAGCAAATGTAGGATTATTTTGACCATTGTAATGTACAACCTCAGTGAGTGCACTATATAGTGACAATATCTACTGCAGGAATATAAAACACAACTTTAGATGTTAAAGCTGCCCAACAAATGAAGAAAACAACTTTTTATATTATTTTCTTTTCTTTTTTTCTTGTGTACGTGGCAATAATTCAGATCATCAGTAATGAGAGAAAATGCTCTAGCAGTGTAACTGGATTGAAATTTTGCTGAAGTCAATGCATATTAAATGTAAACAGCACATGTTGCAACAAGATATGCTTGCCTTTAATGATTCTCCAAATTCTTTAATAATCTCTTTTAAATATTTTATATGCAGTTGTGGTCAAGCTCAGGATGTTGAAAATTAGGTCAAATTCTGGAGAAGAACTTAAGTTTGAAGTTGTGGCTTTTGAACGAGATCACTCTTTACATTAGGCTCCGCTAAGTGAATCCAGACTGCCTCCTCCTTTTGCTCAATCAATCAACACCTTTAAGACCTGGCCTGTGTCTTATGTTCCTCTCATGTCTGGAATTTTTATTTGTTTCCATATCCCATGCAGGCTGAGTGAAGGAAAACCATTTACATAAAAAAAATAATAAAAATTGACATTTTCATTGTTTTTTTCTGACTTTTTACTAATGCTAAAAACTGTGACCTAAACCTTATAACTGCTTGTTTAACCTGCTGATTGATGATAAGTTTTCTGCATATTTAATTGAAACAAAACTAGATTTTTTGTTTTTCATGACTTCAAAATAAGACTGTCCCCCAGCGTCATTCTCTTCTATGACACATACTTCTCTGATGCTACATCTGGAGAACATAACTGTGGAAGAATTAAAGCCATAAGGCTGGTTTAAGGTGTATAACAACCATATCAGGATCTAATTTATTTTTTTCGCATGCTGGGTGTGGTAACAGCTTATTACATGACATTTCCCATAAGGCAAACAAAGTAGCTCTGAAGGCAATGACGCTGTCAATATAAAGCTGTAGTCTAATGTGAAGTAAATTGTTTCAAATGTGGAAAGGCTTTTACTTTTTTTTAATTGTAATTTTGTTTAATTTTGTATTGCTTTAACTGATTGGAGTTTAAAAAAAATGTATGTACTGCTATAAAAAGTACTAGAACTTCAAGCTCTGTCTTTGGATGGTCTTATGATGTCATAAAAAAAATAGTGACTTTTGCATTTTCTTTTTATTATATTCCTTAAAACTACAATTTAAATCATTTGATAAACTTTGTATAACATGCTCAAAAATAGAGCAGAAACCTATTGTTTTTGATAATAGAGGGATTTTTTCCCTTTTGGTTGGAGGATGTTATTAAAGTTTTAGAACCACCACTTTTCATATCATCTCATCATTCACTTCCCCATTCAACATCTTAAACAGATGTTCTAACATAGGTGCATACTGCAAAGGAAAGTATCCACATTGGTCAATGGGTAGAATGGATTTTCCATCAAAAGCAGATTTTATTGTACTTTACCAGTTACACATGTGTGTGTGGTTAGAGAGACACTCTAAAGAGGCATGATGTCAGTTTCTAGGCTTACTTCCAAGTGATGTGGAGGTTTACCCTCAGCATGCTAAGTATTGCTCAGGGAGCTCTCAGAGACACACATTCAATACTAGATGACTTACTAAGAGACATGGGATCCCCAATGGATGACTGGGGTTACAGAACTTGTCACCCACCAACTCCAGGGACGCAATATAAGACAATCTCCTTCAGCTATCTCTTCAATCTTAATTAAAATCACAGTTACAGCCTATGCATTCATAACCACAGCTTATAGGCTTCGGATGCAAAAAGTATAGTATATCAAATTTTCAGTGTTAAAACTGGTTTGCATCAAAACCTAGGAATGTCACACAATAGCGTCCAACTGAATGTGTCATCAGCTCCAAGCTTCTTTTATTGATTTATCAAAATTATTGTTGTTGGTTGAAAAGCTCCTATTATATCTGAAGTCTCTTCACTGCAGTGGTGAGGCAAAGGCGCGTGTAATGGCATACTTTGGAGAAGGGACTGGCCCCATCCACGTCGACAATGTCAACTGTAATGGCGAGGAACATTCTTTGGCGGACTGCATCAAACAGAGGCCTGGCACGCACAACTGCCGCCACAGTGAGGACGCCGGGGTCATCTGTGACTATGGAGAATCACAACACAGCAACCGAGAGGTTAAAGGTCAGGCAAAGAGTAAACAAACTACATTTCTTTTATGTGAAGAATTATACAGAAAACTTTAATGTGTTTGTAGAACGCTGTGTTTCTTGTGCAGTAAACACAGAAATAAGAAACACATGGCGGAAGAAATCTAACTAGGTGAAGTGCTTTACCAAATCTGGAGCTTCTTAAGAATATGTAGAGCAAAGAAAGGGACAATTTTCCTGATTCTTAATTCCCAATAATTCAATTCAGTTCAATTCATAAATACCTAATTGAGTGGTTCTGTTGTACAGCAGTTTCATTAAAAAAAAGTTTATAGGTTCCCTAATGTACTTTTTACATTTTATGAAGGATTTTCTTTGCACAGCTTTTTAAGAGGAGTCAGCTGTCTTTATTAGCATATTAAGTTGTTTTAAGTGAGTGTGCAATACGTCATTACAGTTCTCATTGTAATTTATGAGGATTTAATGTGATAGGCCAACAAAGTTTTTCATAACTGTCACAGTCATTCAGGATGAAATCCTAAAATGTATGCTATGCATTTACCTGAGACCTGAATAGTAGACATTTTCCAGAATAATATTCACTGCACTTATAAATGAAGTTTTCCACAGCTTTTAAGTGTTGGCCATAAAGTTCAGTTTTGGTTTCATCACAGAAGGAAGTTTTTCAATGAACATATGACTTATATTTGGGCTCGCCAGGTGGAGATCATGGCTACTATTTGTCTTGTCAACAGATTCTGCCATGAGCCTTCTGGCATAATCTCTTATTAATTTTTTTTTCAATAAGTTTTGCAATGGTGCCATACTCTTTTCACTAGTTAGATAACTGACAATGGATTCAACAGTGCTTAATGTGGCAGGCTGTTTTTTTTCTTTTCTTTTTTGTTTTTATTTTTTTGCAGCTCTATCACATTAAACACCAATAAATTTAAGTTGTGGTTGCAACTTCAATAAATGCGAAAAAGTTCAGGAGGTAAAATACTTTTGCAAGGCCCTATAGTATATCTCCAGATGGTACAATGGTCAAACTTTTTTCCTCTTCATCCTGCCTAACTCAGAGAAAAGTTGATTTGCACAAAAATGCAAATTTCTTCCAGTTTAAACATATGCCAAAACAATGTTTTGTCTCACTGCCTACACTTTAACATCCATTATGCTCTAAAATGGAGTTCTAATACATTATTTCTAATGGATTTCAGCCTTGTATGTTTTACTCAAAGGTAAATTTCAAACCTCATATTTTTTAACTTGTCTAAATATTTAACAAGAGGAAAATCGAAGCTGAAGTTTATGGTATGGCAATCATCACCTTTCCACGCATTCTCTCAAACACATGACCGGTGGCTCCTCTTTTGTCTCTCTCAGATCCTGTCAGCTCAATTTGCGGTCTGCGCCTCATACACACTCGCCAGCGCCGGATCATAGGAGGAGAAAACTCACTGAGGTGAGATGGAGGGGACAGATGTTATTAATAACAGAACAAAGAGAAGCAGTCAGAGGAAATGACCACATTTTAACTCTACATGTTGCAAATGGTTGCCAGCTGATTTAAAGGTGGAGCATGTCTCCAGCTCTGGGTTTTAGACGATACACCTGAATTTTATCTCTGTTAATTTTTAAATAACATGTTTTGCAGTGACAAAAAGTTATTTGCTTGAATTTCTTTTTGTCATTTAAGATAAAATAAGCATGACAAACATGGTGTAAAGCAGATGTTTTTTTCTTTATCTTTATCATGCAGACGTCTGGAAATACTTTTAATCCTTTTCCAGTTCTGGATTCTGGAAAAACGAGATAGAAGTATTGAAACATGTTTAGACATCCCAAATATTTTTCATTCAGTAACTTAAAAGAAGAATGAAATCAGAAGAGGCTATTTTAATCTAGTTTGTACTCCCCCTGTTTTCAAAATGCCCAATATTAAGTGGATTCTCCGTTAAACTGTTGTTAGGGATTGGTACACTTTCTCCTTTTTTCCCCTGTTTCTATCCCTGATGATATAACCCAATTTGTCAGAAAAATAAACAAAAAGGAAGTTAAGAACACAAACACTGATCCAATGGAAAAACGCTAAAAAATGTAAAGGTCTAATTCAGTGGCTTCTTGCCATCCAGCCTAGACTTGTGTGCATCAAATGTGCATCTGGTTAAGGCAACAAAATAAAAATAAAAAACATCTTGAATCTTTAAACTTTAACAAATAGAAGAAAAAATATATATTTCCATGAATTATTCTGAAAAGCCTGATTCCAATTTAGATCAGATCAGAGTCAAACAGAATGTCAATACCAACAAAATCAAATCACTATTAATTTGAATTTAGGCTAAATCTATTCAACATATATCTTGATATTGTGCACTTTAGGAAAACTTGTTTTTTGAATTAAATTGGATGAGGATTTTCTTCTGCTAGGAAGCTGTAAGCAGTTACTATCAGTTAATTGTTTTTTTTCTTGGTTTTAGGCCCTCATCCTTATGTGAGCTAAACCTTCAGAACATGAAGTTTCAGAACCTTTAGCCTTTTGAGGGTAAATGTTTGTTTATCATACATGTTATCACATGTTATTACAAAAGTTTCAATAAGAATAAAAATTCAGTCATTCAGACAGTCAAACAGACATTGTTTAAAAACCTCGCCATTTACCTTTACTTTCTTATAAGTTATATTTTTTCCAGCTTTAATCTAAATAATCACCACACAATATTTTTATTCACCTGTTTAAAATAAATGTAACTTTGAAGCAAATAAGATGATGAAAAAATTTTTTTGAGAGCAAGTTGTAAAGACCAAGTAAATGTTTTTCAAAATAAAGGACATCAGCCAGTAGTTGATGTTGCTAAATGTTGAAGATAAATGTAAATTATTCCTGCAAATGGCTCAGTGATTGATCATTTCTGCCTCATCTGTCCTTTTTGTAAGTGTGGTTCATGATTGCATGTTTATGCCTCACATTGCCTCTTGTGACCTCTGTCTGAAAGGGATGTTAGTGTTTCTCCCCAGAAAAGCATAAATCATGCGCTCATGTTGCTATAAAGTCCTTCTGTTTATGGTTTCTGTTTACATATCTGTGTGCAGCAACCACATGCGTGATTTCATTCTAATTTGTTGCATGGCCTAAATGGAACACAGCTCATCTTAAATGCAACACTATGAATTTCTTGTTCTTCCTTTTACTCTGTAAGCTGCTCTGGATGTGACAGGGGACTGTTTTTGTGCATGTTTGTGTTTAAAGGGGTGGCTGGCCATGGCAGGCTGCCATTCGTTTGCGAGGGTCTCGAGGAGATGGGAGGCTGGTGTGTGGTGGAACGCTCATTGACACCTGCTGGGTCCTGACCTCAGCGCACTGCTTCAAAAGGTCAGAAACAAACACTTTATGACATGTGCTGTTTTCTGCTAAAGTACTACATGTAATTTAAGTTAAATTAATGAAACTATTACGGCATACATTGAATCAGGTTGATGCATACCGTTACAGGTGGTGCTCTGCCTGTAGCTTTGTGCAGGTAACAAGACGTAGGGTTACATGTCGCTTGGGGCCTTTGTATGGTGGCAGAAACATGAAATTAATCAGTGAACACATACTCAAGCAGATGATGAGGTTGGAGAAATTTGAACCATTCAGTCAGCATTAATGTTTATAGTACATGTTAAGCTGTACCTGCTGCAGGAGAAATATCGTTACTAGGTTTAGATTTCACTCCTTGCCATTAATCGTAGAACCACAACTTGCCACATGTGTCAGACGCTCCACCACTATAAATCCTGATTTTTTCCCCATTTTAAAGAGGAAGACATATTTTACTGAAGTTTCCTTCTGGAATTAGTATGACTGCCAGATGCATACTTTTAATATGGAAACTTTTACTTTCTATATGAAAAAATAAATACTATTGCCAGATTTAGGCATAATAGTACGTATATCACGATATACGGTCACTAATGTGCTACATGTGCACTACATTACTTGCGGCCTCAGCTCAGAGCCACCAAAGAATCTCATGTCATAAGACACCATGGACCACGAAATGTTTATTTAGGAGGTGAAAAAACTCACAGTTTTACTTTACACGACTCATCTTTTTATAAAGATAACACCAGAGAGGAAAAAGCAGGGACTGAAAGGTTAGGTGACCATATATCGACCAGGCATGCAAGACACTGATTCTTCTGGCCAAATAACCACTTTCTTCAATTCAAAGCTTACATGTATTGTTATGTTTTACTACTGTGCAATGAAAAAATCCAACTGCTCCAAGGTGCAATCCAGCCTTATTCATAATGCTTAATTTTTTTAATTGAAGTACCTTGCAAAGTATGCTAATTACTTTACCCTTTTCACCTCTTGTTATGATGAAACTACAGCCTGAAATAGAGAGAGAATAATATATACATGCAATACATATCAGCCGTGTAATCTAAAACATCCTAAATATGATTAGTAGCACCTATTGCTTTTAGAAGTCAAGTAAGTAGTAAAAAAGGCGTGTTATATGAAGGCCTTACAGGTTTATTTGAGAAAAAAAAATGTATTATTAAGAGCAGGCGTCCCCAAACTCGGTCCTCAAGGCCCCCTGTCCTGCAGGTTTCAGAGGTTTCCTTGCTCCAGCACAGCTGATTTTAATTGAAAGCTGATTAACAGGCTTTTGGTCTACTGCAATCATTATAACCAGCTGTGCTGAAGCAGGGAAAAATCTAAAACCTGCAGGACAGGGGGCCTTGAGGACCGAGTTTGGGGATGCCTGATTAAGAGCAAATGTACAATAGGGTGAGGTACATTTATAACACTAAAGGTATCTAAATTATCTTATTTAATGTTATCCTACTAAGTTGTTTAGGGATGTGAACAAAGAACAAGACTAAGTCTAGAGGAGATGCAGAGATCCACACCTTTCTACTAAAGAACAACAAGCAAGTGCACATCACAGTTTTTATTTGCTTGGTTTTGAGAGACAGAAATTAAAGACCACTTTGTCTCACCTTCCTTTAATAAAGCGATTCGGATTCTGATTCCTTATTTAAAAATAAACAGATTGATGATAACAAATGTTAAAAGAGAAACAGCAAGCAGTATGACAATTTATGTCTGCAATGTATCATTTTGACTGTAAATGTAAGCAGGTTTAGCTGAGAATTTATGTTCTTTTATCGTTCCCATTTTAAACAGGGAGAACTAGACCATTTTTCTAAAAACGTAATTCAAAGTTAATCAATGCTCAGAACAGCTTAATGCTTCAATTGCCTTATATTATTTAGATACTGGATGTGGGACGTATTGGCTGCACTTGTGGAGTTGGTTAATATTCCTGTTTTTCATGTGGTATTATCTTTCCCACTGTATATGCTGCATCCAGAATGCATTAGGAACCCTGCCCAGTTTCATATTTAGTGATTTAACTGCCTTGTTCTCAGTGATATTAAAATGATCTGTCTCCACAAAATTCACACACAATACCCTGTTATGACAATGTAAAAAGAATATTTATTTCGCATATTTATTTACAATAGAACCCATTGTTTTCTATGTATTCTACTGATCTTTCTTGAAGTATTTCTAGTCTAAATGGAGTAGACCTGTGATACATGTAGTTGACTGAACATAATTAGGAAAGGTGCATACCTGTAATGAAAGCCACAGCCCCCTGGAGATGGTAGCAGCTTGGAGCTTTCCTTCCAGTCCTCATCCTGGTAGCAATCACTGGTAACAACCACTTTAAATAACCGTTTCCAATATAAAACAAGACTGCAGGTTTACCCGAATTTCATTTTACTTGGACCATAGAAATGGCTCAGGATTACATGCTGTAAGCCTACCGGGCTCGCTTCATCAGAGAGGGCCTTGAATAACAGTTAAAAGAAGCTTTTTTATTGGTCTGCTCTTTCAGAGCCAGCAACATCGTCTCATGATTACATCACACATATTGTTTGTAAAAGATGAGACATCACTGGCTCCAGCCTTGTTATGATATTAGACAGTGTTCTTAGATCAATGACAACCCGATGCAGACTACCAGAGTTTTCTCTGTGAAGAATTATTATCTGTCTGTGAATTTGCCTCTATATAGTGTTAAACCATGCTTAGAAAAACGATGTGATATGTCTACTATACTTAACAGGTAGGTACCGGTAATATTAGGGTTTAAAAAGCGCACACATGAATAACAAAAAATAATCCCAACACACCTGTCTATATAAGGTTTTACAGCTGACATTGGATGTCAAAATGCAAACACCAAGCATAAGATCAAAAACCTTTAATCCTTTGATGCAGGAATGTCTTGAGGCACAAATCTGAAGAAGGATACAGAGAATTTATTACTGAGGGTCCCAAAGATCTCCGTTGACTTCATCATTAGTAAATGGAAGACATTTTAAACCATCTGGGTTCTCTCTAGAACTGCCTGGCCATCTAAACTGAGGGCGTTAGTGAGGGAGGTGACCAAGAACCCCATGGTCACTCTGTCAGAGTCCCAGCATTCCCTTGTGGAAAGAGAACACCCCTTGTCTTTGCAACAATCCACCAGTCAGGTCTGTACTGTATAGTGGCTTGATAAAAGCTACTACTTAATAAAAAAAAAACAAAAAAAAACATCAGACCAAGAGAAACTAGGTCCTCTGTTGGGATGAAGATTGAAGTCCTTGGTGTATCATATTTGGAGGAGCAAGGCACCACTTATTACCCGGCCAATACCATGCCTACAGTAAAGCATGGTAGTAGAACCATCATGCTTTTGGGAGGTTTTTCAGCAGCCAGAATAGCAGAGTAGTAAGGATACAGAGAAAACTGAATGCAGCAATGTACAGAGACACCATGGAAGAAAACCTGCTAAGGGGTTCTCTTGATCTCTGACTGGGGCAAGACCCAAAAGCACACAGGTGAGACCTGAAACGGAGTGACCAGTGTGTGAATGTCCTGAAGTGGCCAAACCAGAAATCAAACCTGATTCTGGGTGAAAATTGTCTAAAAAGGGATCTACTGAGCTTGTGGCATCATATTTGAAAAATATTGTGGCTGTAATGGCTGCCAAAGGTGGATCAACAAAATATGAATGAAAAACTGCGAAGAATTTCACAATATGACTTAATAAATTTTAAAAATCATTTACTCACATATACATAATGGAGTTTAATGTGAGAAAATTTGAGAAATTTAATTAGATTGAAAAATGTTCTGAGTTATGGCTACTTAATGGCTACACTGTAAATAAACACGCTTCAATTGTTGGGTTTTTCTAAATACGTATTCATTGTGACATTACTCTACTGCAGAGGTCACGGATTAGCGGACTGGACCGGTCCCACCTGCTCGCTAATCCGGACCCAATCTGATTTTAAACATTTATAAATTACGGCATGTTGTCAGATGGCGGTGTCTAATTTCACTCGTGCCACTTCTCCTGTTCGTACGGTAAAGCCCTCCGGGACCAGGCTGCATGTGATGCCAATTTGCCAATGAGCTTTGTCGGTCAGGGGTGCTACAGCTAGCTACTTTTAGATACAGGAGGCAAACCTGTGGCAAGCCGGGTGGTGGGAAAGAAGGAGAAGATAAGAAAAGTGAAAGAAAGTTTGGACTGCTGCAAGAATTGCGGTGAACTGGTGAAAGAAAAGGGAAATGGCGTGTTTAAAGATGAGCCCACATTTTGAGTATGTTTGGCTGAACCTACTGCTGTGAAGCAGGATTCTCCACCATGAACATAATCAAAAATAAATATCGATCCAGGCTCAAAATGAGCACCTTGATATGTGCTTGAGAATGGCTTTGTCTCCATTCAAACGCAGGTGTAAAGCCTTGCAGGTCAGCCTAAAGCCCACTGCTCTCATTAAGCCATAAAAAAGAAATGAATACAATAAATGGTCAGTTCAGGTGTTTTATAAAATATGTGAAATTGTCTTTAGACCAATCTGAAAGATTATTCTTTCCTTAAAAAAAACACTTCGGATTTTAAAATTGAAAAATGTTCTTTTTCAGTGTATAACATGGATCCATAAAAATCTCATTTTATTTCAGTGTTAAATTATTTTAAAGTAACAGATTATAATTAAAAATGTCTCTGGACCTTTACTGGTTGTTGAATTTCTTTATTCGGATTTTTAATTGTTTAGCCTTGCTCTACAGTAATACGTCTATTGCAATAAGTCATCTTCAAAGTCCAGTGGATTGTTTTTTAACTTTTTTTTTTTTATTTGGACTGCAAAAAGTCATAAAGTTGTTTTATATATCTTTACCAGAGGTGCCTAAAAGGGATAAAGGGTAGATTTAAGGAGAATTTAATGATACAATAGCACTCACTCTTTGCAATGTCCTCTTTCCTTTTCCTGAAGTGACTCATTAACTAGTTTGGTTAGGCTATTATCACTGTCCTAATAAAGTTTACAGAGGAGTTAAACTAAATTGGCCTCATATAATTATACCATAACCATTTGTGTTTGAAATAACTAAACCGGTCACTCATTTCCGTGCCTTAGGCATTGCTTTTTGTAGTAGATACCTTTATAATTGCCAAATCATTCATAGACTGGACGGACACTGTTATTATGTCATGGAATGCATTCAACACTGATAGGGCATTGTCATATCTTTCATTTATGCATCTCTGCTAGGCAGGTAAAAGCAGATCTAAATACCAGGCATAATACGATTCAGCCTTACCAAATCAAGTGAGGTGTTTAGATGCCTTTGTAGATATTATGACAAAGACAAGTTCCAAATGTTTGATCTTGAAAATAGTTTTGAAAATCCTTCCCTTGTTATTGTTATAATTATAGAAGCGTGTCTGTGATTAAGAGGATTAGGTAGTGGTGGTGTAGGTTCTAAAATACATGACCACAATAACAACCTTCAGTTGGTTATTAAAACCCCTCTTTTCAGCTCAACAAGAACTTTTGTACTTTAAAATTTTGTAATTACCTTTTAAAGTAAAATCCTTTGGGGCATTTTGTCTGTCCTGTCTCTCTTCATGCTCAAAGCTTTCAGTCCTTGCTATGACAGATTAATTTCCAATATGCAAGCTCTAGAGCTCAAAGGCCAAAATAGGGTCTTTTGATTTAATAACATCATATCTCATGTGTGGGAAATGGTAAATGGCCTGTACATATATAACAGTTTTTCAGGTCAAGAGGACTACATTTAGTCATTTACTCAGATATTGATGTGAGTGAATGTGCCTGGGGCTCACTGACAGAAGCGAGGCTGTCGTACACTGGCGCCACCAGTCCCTCCGACCACCATCAGTAGGCAATGCAGGTGAAGCGTCTTGCCCAAGGACACAACAACACTGAAAGCCGGGGTTTGAACTGATAACCACCAGGTTGGGCAAACTCCTTCATCCAATGCCACTGCAGCCCTAATCACAATTTCCTGATGGTGGCAGCACCATGCTGTGGGGATACTTTTTATTAACAGAGACTGAAACACTGGTGAGGACATGACAAAACACTGGTGGCGACGTGACAAAATCTGTGTCAAGGGGTAACTATAATTTTAGAAGACACTGTGTTGCATTCACCAACATTAGCAAGTTTAATGGACTAGCTACCTACTGGAAGCTATCCTCCTCTAATGCCATACTATGTCGTCGTCTTCCGCTTTATTGCGGGGGCAGTAGACTAAGCAGAGTCTCCCAGACTTCCCTCTCCGCAGACACCTCCTCCAGCTCAGTTGGGGGAAGCCCTAGACGCTCCCAGGCCAGCCGAGAGACATAGTCTCTCCAGCGTGTCCTGGGTCGTCCGCTGGGCCTCTTCCCGGTGGGACGTGCCTGGAACACCTCCCGAGGGAGGCGTCCAGGGGGCATCCGAAAAAGATGTCTGAGCCACCTTAACTGACCCCCCCTCGATGTGGATGAGAACCGGCTCTACACTGAGCCTTTCCCGAATGACCGAGCTCCTCACCCTGAACCCCTCCTTGAACCGCCACCTTAACGTGGTGGAGGGGTTGCAGTGCCTGGGTGATCCCAGAGGCTAAATGCCCCTGGTAGGGTCTCCCAAGGCAAACAGGCTCTGGGTGACAGCTCAGACGAAGAGCGGTTCAAACACCCTTATGACAAGGACCACATCGAGACACCTGACTTCGCCCGGCACGGCGGAGCCGGGACCCCACCCTGGAGCCAGGCCTGGAGTTGGGGTTCGTCGGCGAGCGCCTGGTGGTCGGGTTCTTCCTCGTGGGACCCGGCCGGGCCCAGCCCGAAGGAGCGATGCGAGGCCATCCCCAAGTGGGCCCACCACCTGCAGGGGGAACCATGAGGAACCGGTGCAATGAGGATTGGGCAGCAGCCAGAGGTGAAGACCTCGGCAACCTCATCCGCGGGCCCTTGCCACACTATTTTGTTGTATTTGATCATATTTTTGTCTCTAGCTTTCTTTCTCTGGCTTTTAAATTAGTATTTCACTGGTCTGCAAAGGTCAAACCTTTGAATCTATTTCCCTTAGTTGTTGTTGAATACATGTCCCTCTTTCATTTGTCAAGCAAATGACAGCCTATAACTTTCATTTGCAGCATGCAAGCTAGAGTGTGCAATGACTGAAAAAGGAACCTTCAGCCCTCAAAGAACTATATATGTAAGTGGTAACTGTCGTGATAAACTAATGTTAACACATAAAATAAACACAACTTTGTAAGCACGGTCAATAGAAAAAGCGAAATATAAATTTTTAGTTTGTGCTGAAAGGAACATTTTTTATTAAACCTCTAGCATTAGTAGATCTGTTAAAGATGATTTGAGGTCAGTGGTCACATGCGGCCAACACATTAATCTATTTATAGATTGCAACAGTATAAAAGAGCTCAAGCTCTACAGTAACAGCTACTGTCAATAATAACTGCCTTGAGTGAAAGTAGATTTCTTTGTAAGATGATCGTGCCCCCTTTATCGCTGCTCTGTTGGCTTTATATGTATGCAGATTTTGATGCACTTTGGCAGTCGGCCAGAAACCAGAAACAGACTGACATTAGATTGGCAAGAGACCTTTCCGGGAACACTTCACCTTGTGTAACTGGACACAAGTGGAGACTTGGCTCCTTCCTAAAGGCCTCCTCCTTTCACTCCTCGTCTCTTATTTCTTTTCCATCCTTCACATCATTTCGAAAAAGCCACAGATGTCTGGCTTCTGCAAATGATGTGACTGCTAAGCACAGTTTGGCAAGATGATAACAGAAATATGACTCACATAAAAACAAAACAGGCACAATGTAACAATTCACTTTGTTACTTGCTTCCTATTTTCTTTTTCTTTAACTCTGAGTATCAGGAAAACAGTGCAATCTGACTCAAAAGGTAGAAGTTATTACTGCAGGTGCCTGAAGACAAGATTTCTCGCTCTTTTCACATTTTGTCCAGTTCCAGTACTGAACCAAATAATCATTATTGTCAAATGAATAGAAAATCCTGTACAACAAGAAATGTTGTACAGGTTTCATTCAGATATTCCTGACAAAATTCATTTTTATCAGCTTCATTCAGAAGACACACAATAAATAGAGAACACCTCTGTCTTATTTAATATCAGTATACATGCAGCTGTTCTGTGATCTGACTTCAGAGGTTTGTTCAAGTACATCAGTGATTCTATTTAGTCATCAGTGAACACAGCACACAGGCCAGGGGAAAATAATTTGACAGAGCAATATTTAACTCTTCATCTAAAAATGCCAAAAATATAAAACAACAACACCCATCATGACATGATCATCTACCTAAACTGAGAGGTCAGGCAAAAGGAATATTAACCAGAGAAACTGAGAGACTTTTCAAACAGTTTAAGTAAGATCTATCAACAAGTCAGCTATTCCTCTTGCGGTAGAGAATTTCTTTCTTATTTTGTAGATGATGTGGAAAAAGACAGCTGTTGTTAAAAGAAAAATCTGTCTGAATTTGCCATAAAATACATAAAGGGTATATTTGATATGGGGCTTTTGTTTAAATGAGAGCAAAGTTTTAGTTTTGGCTTCTGCTCGCTAACATTAAAGTTGGTGACATCATCATGTTTTAGAGATACCTTTCCTTTCATTAGGCTCTAGTGGCCTTTATTTTAGTCATTTTTTGAAAGTAGGCAGACAGGAAATGAGACTAGAGAGAGAGGAAAGGCATGCTCAAAAGGGCAGGTCGAAGACCAGAGCGCCTTGTCTCGTACCTAACGCATGCATCACCGCCACGCCCCGGGACACTTTTCCTTAATAGGGATGTAAAAAGTGGTGGCAACATGACAAAAAAATGAGAAAAATTGGTTTTTCCAGCAGAGCTAGGGAAGCTGGGCTAAGTTGAACGAAAGACAAGCAAATTTAAATACAAGGCAGCACAGGCTAAATACCTGTTAGAAGCTGTAAGAGGTTGAATGGCTCATTCGAAGTCCGACCTAAATTCCAGTTTTGTGACAGCTGAATACTGCTGTTGACAGATGCTTTCCACCGAACCAGTCTGAGCACCAACTTTTAAGCCTAGAATAATAGCATATAGGTGTTAAAGACATAACGCTAAAGAAATCCAATTATACATGCTGTATGTACCAGGATTACTGAATAAAAATACATCCTTTTACTTTTTAGACTGCAGATCATACATATTTTTAAAACCATACATAATTTTCCCTCTATTTCAAAACAGAGTATATTGTAGTATTTTTCTGCTGCCTACAAGCACAAATAAAATATTGTCAGGTTTAAGGTTGTAAAGTAAATAGTAAACGGTTCTTTCTTGACTTCTACAGGTATGGAAACAACACCAAGCAGTATAAAGTGAGACTGGGCGACTACCACTCCCTTGTGCCAGAGGAGTATGAAGAGGAGTATGGAGTTGATCAAATTGTCCTCCATCCAAACTACCACTCCTACAGCAATGACTATGACCTGGCTCTGGTTCGCCTGTCACCGGGAGCAGTGGGCCAGGCACCAGGAGAGTGTGTGTCGTTCAGCCGTCACATTCTTCCCGCCTGCCTGCCCATGAGGAAAGAGAGAGTGCTCAAACAGGCCAGCAACTGTCACATTACTGGCTGGGGGGACACAGGTCAGTGTTTAGTACATAACCTGATATGTCAAACATTTTTTCCAAAACTTTTACTTGGTAACATTCTTTTGAATACAAAACATTTAGGGGAATATACTTAAAACTCTTAATCTGAAACAGCAATACTGGAATCAAGGCGATATTAAGTCATTTTCAAATTGTAAGCTCTAATTTTGGACAAAGATTATGTTATAGTGGCTGATTTCCAAAAGTAAACCACCATCTGTAATTTCATATGCTTTTTCTATTACAACGCCAGAAATAATAGAAAATTCACCTCACTGGTAAATTGTACTTGCAGCGACACACATCTGTTAGTGATCTTTAAATTACATGCTGGTGTCATTAATCACCGCGACCTCATCACTTAGGCCTGCAGAATGTCAGGCTTTCACCATCCAACACCTCGTTCTCCGCACTGTCATATGCTTTTTGGATCCTAATGCCCGTATGATTCCCTGCTGATAAAACATGCATGTTAGCGTGGCTGGTGGCATAGTTTTACTGCTCTACTTTAAGTGAGGAGGACACACACTATTTAGAGTCTGTGATGTTTAGCAGAAAGTGTGTGACGCAAGGCTTCATGTCTATTTACTACAGCTGTTTATGTTTGGATATCTGCCACCCGTGATATCAGACATGCAGGCAATTTTCCACTCACACACACTGAGGGTGCCATCGATATTTAATGGCTCTATGTAGCCACTAAGAAAAGAAAAAGACTTGGTTTAGTTTCTAGCTATAGTTACTTCTTATTTTCAATGCTAGTCCTTAAAGCAGGGTATGAGTTTATTTATGTAGTTTCAAATTCTGGGTCAGGCATAACATGTTTAGTTTATCAACATAATTATACATCATACTGAATATCTTATTAAAGTCATGTTTATTTCTTCAATTGTTATTCATACACTATGTGAAACAGAAATTACAAAAAGCATTATGTGCATAAATTGCAGGCAAACACAATTACTTCTATAACAGCTTGTTGGAATTTATTTACGGCTAAATTCACACTCCTTTTAGGCAAACTCTAGGGAAAGTATTAGTTTCTAACCTTGTCATGTTAGCGCAAATGGCGCATTCAGGGTACAATACTTTTTCTCTGACTCCACAATCTCTTTTTTTTTTATACATTGAAAACATTGATCCTATTATTTTTTGCAACTCAAACTAGTCTTTGCTCTGAACGCCTTCATAAAATAATTTTTAAGCCTGTTGTTAAAATAAATTCTGATAAGTTTCCATTCTGCAATAATTTGTATTTTTTTTCCCTACATCAGCCCAATTATGTTCACTGTTTTTTTTTTATAGATGTGTGAGTTGATGACCAGACAGACTGCCCTCTCTGTGCTCACAGAGTGAATTTTCTTAAAAGTTAACTCATATTTCAACAGGTATCAGCTGAAAATATAGTAGATTGATGCAAGTTCTACAGTAGTGTTTTCTAGTTTAGCATCTGCAGTGCTGCATTGGATTTAGTAATTATTAAGTAGTTATTGCTTTTACTTTTGGGAAACCTGTACATTCTCTAGCAGTGGCCCACATATATGGTTTGATTATTTTTCAGTATTATTAACATGTGTTTATAAATAATTGGTGTAACAATAACCCCTTGCTCAACACTAACTAGCATACAGTAAGAATGTATATAAAATGCTGTCTGAAAATAATTTAAGTTCTACTTTAAAGATTTAAAAGTTTTAAGAAAATTTTATTAGAAATCCCAACTTCCTGTTCATCCGGGAGATGATGGTGGGGGAGATGATATTGCTTGCTGTGGTTGTAATTCACTTGGCAAAACAGGCCAAATAATATTTTCCTTCATTTAATGCATTCAAAAACCTAAGGAAAAAAGTAGTTTACAGCAATACACCTGCCACTTGTTCAAAAATACAAATTTCCTTCTGGGTACAAAATGATTCAGTTTTTGCTAATCTCTGTCAGCAACTTTTTGAATTAACACAAGCTGAAAAAGTAATCAACATTTGTAGCAGTAGAAAACTATTCATATGTTTGGGACGATAATTCTACTGAGGCATTTGAGCTAATATTACCCTTTAAACCCAAATCTCCATCAAAACTCAAAAACATTTCTATCTTTTCCTTTTCACAGGACGTTCCTACTCAAAGACCTTGCAGCAGGCCCCCCTGTCTCTTCTCCCCCGCCGTCACTGCCAGCAGTATTATCACAGCGCCTTCACAAGCCGCATGCTCTGTGCCGGGACCGTCCAGTCAGAGAGGCGTGTGGACAGTTGCCGGGGTGACAGCGGAGGCCCGTTGGTGTGCGAGCGCCCAGGAGGGGGCTGGGTGGTTTACGGGGTCACGTCTTGGGGTCATGCCTGCAGGACTCAACAGTCCCCTGGTGTTTACACCAAAGTCTCCGCCTTCAACTCGTGGATCCGCAAAGTAACTGGACGTGATAAGAAAATGCGATGAGGCTGGCAAACTGAAAGTAGTGACCTCTCAGGACTCAACCGGTCAGATAGAAAAAAAGGCAGCAATACATTTCACTTACGACAATCTGCTGTCATGGTAACACATATCGCCTATGAAAAACATGTAAGGAAGATTTTCAGATGAAAAGTGTTAGAGCACAAAGCAGAAGTTTACTCACACTCATCAATACATCACAACTGAATATCTCAGTGTTAACAGTATCATTGTTTTTATTTAAATTCTGTTTTGTGTGCAAACTTTTATTGTGACCTTATATTGTAATCTTAAAATTTTTATTTTTTATGGACCAAACATGTAGTGGACTGACTATGGATGAATTTATAAAACTGCACTACGATCACCTATTTTATAATTCAACCGAATGATACTCAGTGAAATATGCTCAGAAGCCTCATTTCAGTCTTGTTTTATTTCTCAGATGTGTCTTAATTTTGTGCAAGACTCTTATGTCATGTCTTATTGTTTCCTTGCAGTGATAAACAGTTTACTTTGTTGTGAGTCATGTTTACTCAGAAAGACAGTGTTTCCCTATAAAAGCACTAAACAGTTTTTCCAATTGTTTTCCTCTTGGCAGCCAGACGTAGTCCTTGTGTTGTAATTACCAGTGTTTAACACGCTTCTATTAAAGAAATGCATAATTTCAGTATGCCCCTTTTTAATGTTAACTTTATATACTGTTGTTGTTTCACAGAAACATTTTCCCATAAAGAAAACCTTTGTAATAAGTTCAAATCTGTGGTGCCTTTTTAATCAAACCCGAGATATTTAAAGTAAAGGTATTGTTTTTATATCCGTTCCTTCTAAGTCATTTTCAGTTCACATTTGGTGTGTTCAAAAATAAAAAGATATGCCTCTCTTCTCTGTTATAAACTATTCTAGGTTCTTTTTCCCATATATGTTATTTGAAACATTAAAACTCTTGAAACCCAACATTCCTCGTGGGTAAAATGTGTTGTCAGCGAAGATTTGTTTTGTAAATAAGGAGCCATAATGGGTTTCGTTACACCCCTGCTGATGTGGTTGTTACGTTTCCTTTTAGATCATTTGTTTGTCACAGATCTAGCAATTGACAGGTACCTGCAGGGACAACATTTTTTAGGGATTTTTATGACAGCAGAGTGACGCGAAGAGACAGTTTACACACACGTACACACCCAGAGCCGGTAGAGAGTCATAAAATGTGTTGACAAGAATAACCGGTTGTGTCTTTTAACATGCAAATGTGAACATAAGCCAACTATATACCAGTAACTCTATAGCTGCACTAAAATGTTAAATTTCCCAAAGATATTGTATCCAACACTGAGATTTTATTTATTTGAATCTTGTTAAATGTTATGTTAATAGTGCAGAATGCAAGTGGAATATATTCCCATAGCCTAAAACCTCACCAAGTTAAATTTAAGTTAAATATAACAGGACCTAGGAGCCTATGCAGAGTAGAGATTATGAGTTTTTATACATGTTACACTTCTCTGTACTGTCTGAGCCTGGGAGACAAATATGGTTGTGGAGAGAGTTATTAGACACTTGATCTTTTGTTCATTTTGTTTTTCAGATATATCTTTTTGCAACAAGGTATATATATATATATAAAAAAAAAAACAAAAAAAAAAACATTTTTTCATGACTGCAATTAGTGGAACCAATTTAAATGTAGCTCTCAAAGTCTGCCCTCATGTGGCCCATATATAAAATTACAACAATCCAAAAAAGATACAATATTCTTTGTTTGTCTGTTTTATAAAAAAACAAATAAAAAAGCTTAGTTTAATGTTTGTGTTTTACAGGTTAGAGTGATATGTATTTACCGTATATGATTTAAATAATAAAATATCCCCGGTAATCATGTATTGCCTTCAATTCATTTTAATCCCAAAACTTCTCCTGCTGTAATTCTTTTGTAAAACCTTTCTAAATTCTCATAGATCAACAAGATAAAACAATGACCCCTTATTTCACATTGAATAATTATTTTCCTATTGCATAAGCTGCTAAAGACCAAGATATGCCTTAAGACAAGAGACAATCGAAAATGATGTACCTCTTTGTTTAACTAATGTAATTTAACATACTTTATGATGTTTAGACTTTATAATTTAGACATGAATCTAAATCAAAAGTTGCTTTCACGAAGTGATAGTTTGAGTTTATGTATTCCGTTTTTTTTATTTTATTTTTTTTATTCTTTACAATGCAGTAAGGGGTACAATGGATTTTTTAAAATCAAGATATAATTGGTAGGGCCCCAACATGAATCTGATAGAAACTCTATAATGGGAAGAAAAAAGATTAGGGAGAAGGCAGGGAAGTTTGTCAAAGGTCAAAGACTTGAGACTCAAAGTGGTGGGGACATGGCGAAATCTGGTCAGCATATAAAAGGTTTTCACTGGTTTAAAAGCAAAAATAATTTTCACATTAAAGGAAAGGAGGAGGGTGTCATTTTTAGAATGTAATCTTTTATGGAAATAAAAGCAAATTATTGAAAAGACAAAAACTGATACTTGATTAGCATTGTGTATTATCTAAAAAATGATCTTATTTCAAACTAGAAACAATCTTCCTGGTTAGTGTGCACTCAGTGATTAAATAAGAAAGTATAAGTATCACCTAAAGTATAGATAAAATATAGAATAAAACATATTGGACAAAATCTATTCATGGATTGGTAATATTGTCCCTTTTCAGCTCATAATTATATGCTAACTTGCAGTGGTCGGGTGAAAAAAAAATCCAGACATAAACCCTTACAGCTTATGATTGTAACAAAATATTTAAAAAGGGTGTAGATATTTGGTATGTAAGTTTTGCATCTATTGTCAGACAGTAATTAGCCTGCTGTGTGTCTCTGTGTTGGTTTTGGAATCAACAGGTGAATAAACCAGCAGAATAGAGTCCTAGAACGCACATGTAACCCTATATATGAAATAAAATTGTTCATCCTTAACCATTTTAACAAACATGACCTTACAAATGGGACTTGTGTGTACTGATCAAAACACCACAAACACTTTATGGTGACAGTCATATCCATAATTTTATTTCAAGTTTGGTTTTGTATTTGACATTTAGGTTTGTTTGCATTCAAATTGAGGCTAAACATACTGTAGGCCACTCATTTTAAAAGGGAAAAAGGGATTTAGACCTAAATGAGACACTGGTAAAACATATCCCGATTGGAGTTACTGCACTAACATAAAAAAATATCCTAAATTTAAAGTTTTTAGCTCATAATTCAGACTAGTTTTGGTCATATCTTTGCAGTTCTTAGAACTGAAATCAAACTCTAATACACGGAAACAGCAGTGAATTATGCTGTTGGTTACAGTTACTTATTTCCAGTCCAAACCTTTTGACGTAAAAGTGTCATGTGACAAACTGCAGGGTAAACAATGCTACCAGATCTGCTTCAAACCTGTTTTGCTAAAAAGAAGATTTACAATACAAAGGAAGAAGTAACAGCCTGTCACTCACCCTGAGTCCAACTCCTCTTGGCTTTTTTTATTCTTTCAACATACAATTAAAATGTAAATAAAACAAAGAATAGGTGAAAGTAAACATTAAAAGGTTTCTATTGTTTTGTCTTAGGGGAAACATAGAATAGAACTCAGTACAAAGAAATCTCTGAATCCCACACAGCTGACCAGCGCTGCTCTGGTAACATAACTTAAGAATAAATCAAATAAAAAAGAAAGAGTTAAAGTAACTGCAGGTTTGCATGAGAGTCCATTCAGAACAGGCCTAATCCTCAAAGTGTCCTGAAGCTCTAACTGTCACTATAAGCTGGCGCTTAGTTTTAGTCCCAGTTTCTATAGAGCTCCATCCATCCATCCATCCATCCATCCATCCATCCATCCATCCATCCATCCATCCATCCATCCATCCATCCATCCATCCATCCATCCATCCATCCATCCATCCATCCATCCATCCATCCATCCATCCATGTGATGATTCTTCATCCCATCAGTCCTCCTGCTCCATCCAGCAGCACCGCAGCTCCCTGGTGAAACAAGTCCTTGGCTTCACCTCAGCGTGCACCAAAAGGCCTCAGACAGCACATAAGAAGGGCAGGAGCTCCTGGTCGCTTCTCTACCGCTCATATCTTGACCTTTACCGCTGGCTCATGGACTGAAATGTTATCTAACCTTCAGAAAGGGGTGAAACGAAGGAGGTGTTGGAGAGAGGGAGACAGAGAAAAGGGAGAAAAAAATGAAATGAAGGACTTTAATCACAAAATTATATATTTTTTAATACTAGAGAGTGAAATTTCACCTGGGATTTGCATAGAAACGTGTGTGAAAAGCATAAATGCACATGGACATGAATTTTAGTAGAAACATTTCCATACAAGTACTTTAAAAGACTAAATAAGGAAAACAAAGAAGGCACAAACAAGAAAGAGCATGAAAGTAGATTAAGTTTTGAACTGTATTTTATTTTAATGATTTTAGGGAACTCCTTCTGAGGTGTAAACTGAATCATATTCTCATTAGATTGTGATCCATATCTAATGACCATAGGTAAGGCTTTGGAAAGTGATAAGACAACTGGTAAATAGATCAGACACATGGAGATCAACAGGGAAGTTCTATCAGGTGTAGGGAAACTCAAGAGTACAACTACTACACCACGTTACCATGGTGTGGTGTCTGGCATCTGATAAGAAGCACAACATTCAAACTTCAAAAAAGTCTAAAAATGAAAAACAAAAAAAACATTCAAGCTTAAAACTGGAAACAGGGGAGTCTAATACAAAACCAAACCGCAAAAACAAAACAGATACATGTGCAAGTTTCCCGCAAGTCTTCGTAAAAATCCCCATTTATCCCCATATTTACTGAATTTTATATCTTTAGGGCAATTTACTATTTTTGATCACTTGAATAGCCCTTACAAATTGATTTAAAAATAAAATTTGAAAATGTTATTTTCAAAGTATTTCACTGAATTCCCTATAAAGGGTGGTGAGATGAGCACAAGGGCGGAAACAACTGGATTAATTATGATTCATCAACTACTGAAATAATTGTCCACTAATTTAGTGATCGATTAATCGTTAACTGGAATATAAGGAGTCAAACATACTTTTAGCTGACAGAGCGACCCACTTAGAGCAGTAATTATACCTAAATTGTAAAAAAATAAGATAATAAACCTTTTAATTCATCAATATACTCTATCAAGAACTCCTTGAATGGAAAAGTTTTAATTTCACCTGATTTAATTCGGTTAAAAGTATTCTTTAAGGAACCTTTTGCCAGGCAAGAAAAATCAGATAAAAATCCACAGGTTAATCAATATGCAAAATGAGCCCTAATGGGCACAGTGCTGACCTTCTGCAGTTCTTCTCTCAGCCATGATGGAAGCGGCTGTCCGAGCCGATGCAGCAGCTTTGACAACTCCACATTGTGCTCCCTGTAATACCTGGAGAGATATGCACGTGCCTGCAGAGAGGAAGAGAAGGAGAGGAAAAATACACCATGTAGTATGAAAAGGCAAGATTACAGTTATTGAAGAAAAGCTTACAAATCTGAGCTATTAATATTTTAATTCATGGTTCTTATTCAAAGGGTACTGCATATGGATCAGTTTTTTTCCAATATTCTGTTTTTAATATTTTATCAAATATGCTTATTCAGATTTATGAGCCTTAATAACACAAGATTAATCTAAATCATTCCACAGCAGCTCTGACGCTTACAGTCGATATACTGCTGGAAGGTAAAACTATGAGTTTTTCCCCTACCAGCTAGAAAAGCCATGATAGTGCCACTTCCATGTTTCAAAATGGGGACAGAGCAAGCAGGGTGATGAAGAGAAATAGTTATCCAGTGAAAAGTTCGTCTCACCTTAGCTGCTGATCGTAGTCAAATTCATCTGTTTAATTTTCTCTTTAACAGGCTGTTACTT